CATCTTCCTAGTGGGTCCTGTTTCAGGAGTGAGTAAACAGCAATTTGTTTTTGGTTTTCATGCCTCCTTTCCCTTTGTGGAGGCTCCTTCTTTTCAGGATACTTTCTCCAGGTATCCAGGTATCCTTAACTCCAGAGCTGATTTCTCTTCCTAGCTGGGATGACACACCACAGCCTGCTCCTGGACTCCTTCCTTTCCCGCATGTCTTCCTGACGTGACATTTCCTCCTCTAACAGCCACACTCTCTTTCAGTGGTAACGAGTGGGACAAGGATAATGAGATAAACCTGTCCCTGCCAATGTTTTGCTCAGCTAATGCAGTTCTTTCTTTGTAATGCAAATGCCTTAACAGGGCAGCTGACACATGGAAACGAAATGTAGGAAAGTGATTTAGTTATTTTTAAAATAGAGTTTACTTATTTAGAAAGTAATAAATATAACTTTGAATTTTGTTTTTTAAATTTCTCTTATTTCTCCACTCCCAAGGCATGAGGAGTTTTAGGCAGATGGGGAGGCATGCATCGGTGGAGCTCACTCTGGTTCTTAGGTACTGTCATGGGACGTAGGGAACCCAGAGACCTTCCTTCCATTGTCTTTCTGAACGAATTTCAATCCCATCGTTCTTTGCCTCCCAAATCATTCTTCTCTCCTCACTCACTGTGAGATACTTAACATTAATTTTTCAATGGGTTTATGTTTTTACAAAGTTGACTTCAATTGCTTGTCATCTAGCAAAGCGCTGGAGGCAAGGAATCACAAAGCTGCCCGCTGCTTAAAATGAAGGAAAAAGGAAAAATGTATAATGAAACAGGCACACAATATTCTTCAATAAATTGCCTTGGCACTTGTGTGTGTGTGTGTGTGTGTGTGTGTGTGTGTGTGTGTTTTCATCATTCTGACACCAGTTTCTTTCTTATGTTACTGTAATTTTTATAAGCATAGAAAATGACAGGTAAAAATCAACATTCATCAATATTCCTACTATTAAAACAGTAATTTAAAGGTATAATTTATATGGATAAATGGGTAAGTGGATGGTTATTTTTACATAAATGTGGTAGGGTCTCTGTCAACTCCAGGCTGAAGCATCTGAGGTAGTAAGCATCTTTCCAGTTCTCTCTTGCACAGAGTCTAGAAGCCACATGTTCTTTAGTATGGCAGCAAGAGGTAACCAGCCTGGACCCTTGAGTCACTGTATGGAACAGAGCTGTCCTGCAGAGCCAACAGACCCATGGTAGAATTTGTGTGAGCAACAAATACACTTTATGGGTTAATCCACTAATACTTGAGAGTTTATTTCTTACCTTACAGCCTCGCCTAACCTAATACCAGGCCTAATAGTACAGTGAGATTGTAGCTTAACACTCTGCAAATCATTTCTGTAGCCACTGACATGCTGTGACAAGACTGTGTCCTTGCACTGAGGAAGCAGTGTAGGGTAGCTATTAGGACTGTAAGCTTTGTGTTAGACAGACCTGGGTTTCAATCTTGCAAATGTACCTTCCTAACTAGCTATGTGACATTAGTTACCTTTCTTAGCCTCTCTGAACCTGCCCTTATATCCCTAAATCACAAGGTAGCTTGAAGGATTAATTGAGGTATCTAGCAAAGTCTGGTGCACAGCAAACCTTTAGGAAATTGTGGTGGTTATGATATTAAGAAGTTAAGAAACCGATACAGAGTGGATTTGACAATGCTTCCTGAGTAGCTGGAACACATGTATCTGCTGTAGTGGCTCTGGGTTACCGCACAGGAAGAGATCAACTGTTCCCGCTGCACGGACCTCTCCAGCTCCCCAAACTGGCTAATATATACGTGAAATTAAATAGAAGGGATGATTTGTTATTTGAAGGATAGAGTATTTCTTCTTACAAGTAAAGAGAATTTGGGTGACTTAAATATAAATAAAATTAAAAGTTCACCCAAGAGAAATTGTGTAGAAGACTCTAAAAATAAGTGTCTTTTAGTTGGAGGGCTTTATTCCAGCAGAATTGCAAAAAATCAGAGCATAGTGATTGAGTCTGCTTTAAATATGTCACATATACAAAGTCAAGGAGCAATTTAATCAACACTGAAAACTTTCAGAAGTGGGACAAAATTAGAGCAATGATAATCCTGATAGGTGATGGAATGCCGGTTTCCCGGCAGGATGACATCAAGATTGTGAGCACTGCCAGCATCGTCTATCTGAAAAAATGATGCTGGGGACTTAAGAAAAGAGTGTGGAATTGGCTCATGTCATAAATGATGGGGCAGAGATGCCCAGATCACTGCAAGGAGCATTCCGAGGAACAGAGACCTGCTCTCCGGCGGGGTGAGTCATTGTCTTGTCCAAGCTGCACAAAGGCAAGACTCAGAAGTCCATTCCAGGGCAGTGAGTCAATTTCCAGCCCAACGTTCTGCCAGAGTAAGCGACTTTCCAAGTCCATTTACAGGGCAGTGATAAAATTAGATGATTGGCTATGAATATTATACACTTGTGAACGCCTGCATCATTACGGGACAATTCCATTTAGATGTGGAGATGAGACAATCTTTCCACGTGGAAAAACCCTCTCTTGGAAGCCACTATTGACAACAAAGCTTTATTATCTGACTTGTTCTTTAATAAGAAAGATTAAATAGAGTTCCATCTAGTTTTACCATTCAGGATATTAGTGTCTTTGGAAGGTATTAAGCTGTGTGTGCTATGCAAGGCAATGTCTTTTGAGTAGACGGAATTGGGTATTCACATACTGATGTGCCGTCCCCTTTCTCCACTGACTGCACTGTGATAAGGAAAAGAGCATTTGCTACGCTTCTGCCACGCTTTTAACTTTTTAATCCAGCAAATTACCACCTCAGCAGCATCTGTTCCCTATCAGAAAAGCCCACTTTTAGTCCCCTCACAAGCAGTCAGGCGGAATGACCACGAAGCGCTTCTGGCTTACATGACATTTTAAATTGACCAATGCTAACTTTCTGTTTTCCAGGTTGCATTGTGTTTAAGACGCTTCTGAAAAGTGCTTTGTGTTCGGACACCACCATCGGAAGCAATGCAAACTTTCGCACACCTGGCTCAGGTGGCAGCAAACTCTGCTGGGGCTTCTTAAATCTGAATGTGATGATAGGTGGTCTGGGGATCTTGTGAAAATGACTTAGCAGGTCTGGGGCACAGCCCGAGATGCTGCATTTCTAACAGGCTTCCTTCCAGTGATGCGGCTGCTATTGCTGCCTATTGGGACACCTTTTGGGTAGCCGGGTCCCGTGTGAGCCTCTTCCAAGTTAATACAGAACTATGGAGTGGTGGGAGGAATGGAGGAGAGATGAGACCAGATACATCCTGGACTCATCACTCCACCTCTCTGAGCTTTGGATTCCCATTTACAAAGCGGAATGAATAATTGCAAAGCTTACTTACCTTTCACAGAGCTGCTGTGAAAACAGCTCCTGTTTCAACAAATAGCAGTGTGATGCCATCACCATAGACAATCCCCATACTCTTTCTCTTCTAAAATGATAGGATCGGCTCCTAGAACCTTTCCTGCATGTATGTGATAATGCCATGTTCTCCTCTGAATCATCTCTCAATGTTTCTTTGGAACATTGTTGGGGGAAAAGTCAGTTCTCATCATCCTCCATGCTTCTTGGGGCTAAGTTCTACTCAGTGTGACAGTCCCTTCATCTAGGTGTCTCAATCCCCAAGTTGAAATTCTCTGCTTAAGATCCCTTAGTGGATATAGTTGAGGGAAATAGAGTTAATTATTGGCAAAACTTTTTTAATGCAACACCGACAGTTATAATTACCATTGGGAAGCACAAACATTTAGGGAATGCCGATTTGATTTGCATAAAAATACACTGCAATTCAGCCCAAGTGGCAATTAATAAGTTATCAGGGAAAAAAGGAGACACAGCAATAAATCCTTTTTGTGTTTTAAGTTAAATGTTTCGGTCCTGAATGTGGGAAGTACCACACAGAGAGTTAGTTTGTTAAACTTAGTAAGAAAAGCCTAGCTGAGCCTCAAACTAGGGATAAGAGTATAAAGTATTCATGTTGAAGTTCTCAAACAACGAAGCAGATATGGTGTTTGTGCATGGCCCTTAGTATTTTTCAGAAACTATCTGTGGATTAATCCTAATAGATTCCTTGGAAGTCATCATGTTATTCTGAAAACATCCATGAATGTAGGTAGAATGTAACTTTAGTAAAGTGATTCTCTGGCTTTGTCTCTATTTCTGACTCTTTTCTGTGAGTAGAGAGACCTAAAAACCCATGCATTAGGGAAAATGTTCTATTCTTGGTTAATCTTGGAAAATGCAAAAAGGCTTAAGTATCCAGAGAAAAGCAGGAAGTGGAGGAAATATTGATGCATGGCGCCTGACTGTCCAAAGCAGCCCACTCCTCAGGGTGTTGCTGTGCTTCAGGAATACGTCCTCCTACAGTCAGAGGATGGTAGCAGAGAAAGACTTGTTGGTCTGTAATAGAAATTAAGCCAGGCCAGTTTTGTTGTAAAAAGGGCCCCTTTGACTTGACACTTCTGTTGTCTTTGTTTATTTTTCCTATTATTCTGGTCCCAGATGAAATAAAAAGTTTTGTAAGAATTACCAAGCAGCCAGTTGTAATGCCATACCCAATTCTTCCCATTACCTGATGTAGCCATGGGTACATGAATAAATACCACCAGGCTCAAGTCTATTCTCGACGAGAACAAAACTTACCAAGTTATGAGTGAATATCATAAACGAAACTTTACCAAATGAAATACAGAACATTTTACACACAATTTAGGATGTAAACATTTCCATTCCTAAGGCCAAATTCTGTATTCCTTATCGTGAAGGGTCCGATCTGAGATGACAATCTACTTCTGGAAAAGATCTTCTTAATCTTCTCTCCTTATCGGGATATTCTAAAAAAGAGAACTCTAAAAAATCTTGAAAGTTCCTGGATGGTGTCATGACACCAACTTCTTTAACTAGAGCAGTGCTAATATAATAAAAGCCATCAGGTGTGGGATCTTTTATGAAAATGTTTAATTCAACTGTTTCTTTGGAATGTAGTAGTCATAGTTTGGAATTTAAGTTACAGTTCAGTTCTATGTGGTTTTTAATGCTACTCAGTGTCTGAGAATACAAATGTCATTTAAAGTTAAGGCTTCGCTGTTCATTCTGAAACAACAATTTACAAGTGTCATATTGTCATAGAAAATAATAATTTCTGTAAAAAAAATCTGCACAAAATCTTACGATGGTACAAAACATGAAGCAATAATATACCAGTAAAATGAAAACATTTTACTACAGAAAGTTTTATAGATTTCCATAAAGAAAAAATATGCTATTTTACACCTTTAAAAATTACAAAACAATCTAAAACAATATAAACTGAACATTTTGTAACACTGCCTTTACAAATTAATAACTTTATAAACATATAATTTTTAAATATATTTATCAGTGCAAGATACTTTAAAGTCGCAGTATCGTTTTTCCTTGGCCGAGGACAACATTAAGTCTGTTGCCTTTATAAACAAAACCCAAGGCTTTCTTAGTGCTTTCCGTCTGGTAGGATTATATCAACTAAATGAATGCCACTGGGGACAAAAAACTATTCTTCTCTCATGGTGATCAATACTTTCCTGGAAACAAAAAGCATTCTCAATGCAATTTAACTAAGATAAATGGACGGTCCCATCTATGACGCAAATGTGACTCCCAACAAATGTATTTGAGTGAGACATCCAGCAATGTGGGAAGGGAGGAAGATCTAAAAAATCTCGTGTCCAACATGGCATGACAAAAATGCATCAGAAACAACCAAGGCTCCTTTGGGTTAATTCGCAGGTGGCTTGGTAAGATATCTGCCTCCCTGCGCTGTTGGAGGCTTAGGTCTTGCCAGCCCTAAGGCAGGCTTATTCTTTGCGAGCCTCTGGAAGTTTCTAGAAGCATTCATTCAAGTCTATTTTTTCAAGGTTGCTGTTACGAATTTTTTTTTTAAAACATTTGTTTTGACTTTACATGTTTTCCCCCCTCTTATCTTAAAATACTTGACCTCCGGGCATCAGGATTTATCGTTTGGTTCTTAAATTAACTGTTTTTCCTTCCACTTCCCTTGTCTGACTCAGTAGCAAAACAAGAAGGTTCTCTTGGGTCATTTTTGCATATTTGGATAGAAAAATCTCATGCTTTTGGATATTTGAAAGATTTTATCCGGTTCTTTCTTTGGGTCTCGCTTGAAAGCCAATTTGTGTTATTTCTTCCTCAACTTCTCACTAGTTCTACTAAATGTCAACATTTCGATCAGAGATCATTTTGAATAGAATTAGATAAGGAAAAAAGATACTGTCACTTTAACCAGTTAACAAGAAAACCAAAGTTAGACTTTGGAGGGCAAAGTTAGGAATTTCCCTTATTTATTTATTTTTAAACATAAAGTCTAGTAAAATCGTTTGCCATTCCCAGCAGGTTAAAGCTGCAAGTTTCTTTTCTGGACAATGGCAAATCCTCCAATTCGAAGAGAGAAAAAAAGACAGAGATAGGAGAGAGAAAGGGAAAAGAGTTTACATTTGAAAATACATTCCATATGAAAGAACAATAAGAGAGAATATTGCAGCTTTATACAAAAGGGTCAAGAGACATGAAATTGAACTACAGAAAAAGCAGAACAATTAAGCCACGTTGCCAAATCTTCAGAGCCCTTGCCTGCCCGGGGGCTGACGTCTCACACGAAAATAAACTTTCTTCTTAGTCAGTGGGCCACCAGGGTTTGATTAAAGAGTAGGGCTTTCACCAGCAAGAAACAGAGTGGGTCGTTAATGTAACACAATGAACCAGTACAAAGAAAAAGGCACTTGAGAGGACAGAGACTAGCCAGTGCCAAGGATTTGTGTTTTTGTGGTTGTGGTTGTCAGCGGTACACCCAGTGACCAGCCGTGTTCTGGGATGGCACCGTTTTCTGTACAGAGTTCACAAGCACGAGGTTTAGTACAACACTGGAAAAACAGCAAGAAAATCGGACAGTATTGCTTCGTAAACAGAGCTGACACACTATACTGGTACTGAGGCACAGTACTCTTAAAAAGAAAACAGCCTAATCCTTCTTTGCCTATGCACGACGCAGGCAATTACGCACGAGCACAACTTCAGGAGTCCACTGAAATGCGATAATTCTAGTATATTCTGGGCACTGGGTTACAGGTAGCATGTCCATCCAAAGGGCCACACGGAATATGCTTGGTGCCAGCATCTTGGATTTCACACCGTTTCCAAAAAGAATCCATAAAGGGGAAAGAGAGAGAGAGAGAGAGAGAGAGAGAGAGAGAGAGAGAGAGAGAGAGGCAGGAGGGGTCAAAATGAATGATTGCGACGATCATACTTGGTCTCAATACCAGCATCTGATTATTCAAATGAAACCAACAGGATAAAGGCTGACTGTACATGAGTCCGATGGTGAACACAGCTCCTCGTCCATGTCTGTTGGCCATACTCATTGAAGCTCCTGAGAAAAGCCTGGCTCAGCGGTCATCAACACACTTCCCAGCCTGTATAGTGAAAGATCAACAGCTCCCCAGCTCGCTCCCGTCCTTCCACTTTCATCCTCTGACTCATTTTTTCGTCTCTGTCCACCTTCATGCCTCCGAATAAGTACTCTGTGTATTCAGTTTGTCTTTTTTCAACTTCACACCATCCACAAGTTCAAAGTTATAGTTCTCCAGGGCAGACAAGTTTCTTTCTGACATCCCATTATGCCAACAGGCACAGTACAGCACAACCCCACAGATGGCCCCCAGGAGGACCCCCAGGGCGCTCATAGCTATGATAGTGATGAGAATGGGGTCTAAGGTCTTCAGCACACTGCCTGGCTTCCTGGAGATGTTCTTGTCGCCTTCTCCCTCACCTTCATATCCCGGTGTGCTCCCTATGGAAAAAAACAATATTGTCTCTGGTCACCGCCAACAGACCAGATGAAAGCAGACAGAAAAATAGAAACGAAACAGGAGCAGATCACACACCCCAGTTTTGCCTGCCACATCTGACTCACTGGGAATGGAAGTGTGGGAGGTGAGGGTGGTAGGGAGTGGGCGATGGGGCTTCTGACAGACTGCTTAGCACGTGGAGACAATCCACTCTGAATTAACTGGGAGGTTCCGTGCTCATCTAATTCAGATTTCATGCAACCCCATCTGTGCCAGATTGTAATCTGTGTTTACAGTCCTTGGCTAGATATGTGGTCATTAAGCTTTGCAAAATGCTTAGTCACACATTAGTCTAGCAAGGGGATTTTACCATTCCCAGCGCATGTACCTAACCCCAAAATGGGCACCAGAAGAACCCTCATGGCTGCCCTTCTACGCAGTGCTGTTTCCAGGATCTGGCATGAATTATGCACGTGTTTGCCCTCCCATATGGAAAATCTTTAAGTCAAACAAATTTTGCCCAAAGTCTACAGTGGTTTCAGTGAAGAAGGAGTGATCCTTTAGAACAAGAGAATGCTTGCTGCTGCCATGTAAAACAGGGTGTGGCTCAAATCGAGAAACCGTGTCTGTCACGCCGAACAGAAGACATTTGATAATCATCAGCATCTTTGCAGCCCTGGCAGTTTATCTGGAGACAGTTGCACTGCTCTGCAGCTCAGCCACTGGGGACTTGTTTTCTTTAGAGTGGAACAGGAGAAATTATTAACTTGGGAGCTTTGAGCCTAATTACCTGGTACTAGAAACGGGATGAAAAAATGTGAATGCACAATATGCCTGGTGTTTACTTAATGGTGTTCTGATCAACAAAGATTCCAATCAAAGAAAACTAAAAACTTAAGATGCAAGTCCCTAGCCAAGGGAAAACAAGCCTTGGAGCATATTAATATTCTCTTCCTTGATGAACTATTGCTTTGAAACAACCTCTATCAAAGTTTACATCTCTAAGTGGACTTGGTAATGTGTTCCTCTTACTAACAGCATGGTGCCGTATTTATTTGTCTCTATGAAGTCCATGACTGGCCATAGAGTAGGATCCCATTTGTAATGCAACAGATGCTGATGTGCATTGCTGATCAGGGCGCAGCACCACCCACAGCAGCTGTGAGTGATGCTGGAGCAAGTGTCTAACAGCCCACAATGCTGGCTGGGAGATGTGCAAACTTCTGGGAATAGAATAATACCAGGCAAGGCCTAACTCTGATGAGCTATGAGCTATGCTACTTAATAAGCTATGCTACTTAAGTTTCGGTCTCAATATTTGTAAAATGGGGATAAATACACCCCCTGGAGCTGCTGTGAGGGTTAAATAAGGTAAGGCATTTAGGACGGGTATGGTGGGTCACGCCTGTAATCCCAGCACTTTGGGAGGTCGAGGCCGGGGAATCACTTGAGCTAAGGAGTTTGAGATCAGCCTGGGAAATATGGTGAAACTCCATCTCACAAAAGACACAAAAGTAAGAGGGGCATGGTGGTGTGGGCCTGTGGTCTGCTCAGAAGGTTGAGGCAGGAAAATCGCTTAAACCTGGCAGGTAGAGGCTGCCGTGAGCCGAGATCGCGCCACTGAACCCCAAGCCTGGGTGATAGAGACAGACTCTGTCTCAAGAAAAAAGAAAAGAAAGTGATAAAGTATGTAAAGTGCTCAGAACATACTAACTCTGCAATAAATCCTTCTTATCATCATCATTGTCATCACAAAAGCAAGCTTTCATTAGAGAAAGATGGGAAAAGATGAATCAGACACAATGGATTGTCTCAGAAATTGGGATCTGGTCTCTTAAAAATCCTGTCTGCATATCGACGAGACACAAGAATTTGGGTTGGTTTCAAATAATGGTGTATGGAAACAGTCTTCACTAGTTTTCTGTCTTTGTGGTAATAAACTGAGTGTGTTTGAGCTGATTATTCTTTAAATCCTACCTCTAGGCTGGGCGGGGAAGGGCCAGGTGAGCTCACTTCCCAGGGCTCAACCATGTGAACAAGCAGGACCCATCACTGAGGCTCCCCAAGTCTTACGGGCAGCTCGGGAGTGGGTACTCTGTGACCATCATCCAATCCACAGCACCAACCCAGGGCCATGGGCGTAGATGTTTTTTATTTGAACTTTTTCACGTACCAGTGTATTAGAGTTCCACAAAGTTTCTTCATCAACACAATGAAAGCCACAGTAAAAAAATTGTTAAATTGGTCAGCAAGACAAATTTACCTGTTTCATCAATTTTAATTTCTGTGTTCTTTTTATCCAGGTCTGCTGGTTCTGACAAGTCAAACAAAATTGAAAGAGATATTTGAACTGCCACCAAAATATAATGCATCAAACTACACAAACCTTTAGGCATATGCATGCACACATACACACACACACACACACACATGCATACACACACACACACACGCGTGCGCACACACACACACATACATCTCTACTAGGCTCCTTTTGGTTTTTTCGTTCAATCTAAACCCACCAAATAGATCAATAAGGAGGCAATGTTAAATGACCAGGAAATTGGTGACATGAGGTCACAACACTGCCCTCACCGTGCCATATCGAAATCCAGGTAGCAATGCTGCCAGCAGACCCTGTTGTTTTAGAAGACAAAGGTGGGCTGGATGTGCTGGCTTGTGCCTGTAATCCCAGGGCTTTGGGAGGCCAAGGCAGGAGAACCGCTTGAGGCCAGTAGTTTAAGACCAGCCTGGACAACATAGTGAGACCCCTGTCTCTACAAAAATTAAAAAATTATCCTCCCAGCTGCTTAGGAGGCTGAGGCAGAAGGAGAGCTTGAGTCCAGGAGACAGCGTTTACAGTAGCCATGATGGTGCCCTGCACTCCACCCTGGGTGATGGGAGTCAGACCCTGTCTCGAAAAAGCAACAATGACAACGAAATTTTTTTAAAAAGAGGAGAAGGGTGAAGGACATGGTTTTGGCATCTGAAATGTGGAAAATAATCTGGTGAATATAGGTTCTACTGAAGCACCTTTGTACCCAGGGCAACCATCCTGCAGTTTGCAAATAATGGCTTCCTAAATTTGGTGTGCATTAGTTCAGAGGCAAGAGACTATGTCCTGTGTATCACGAAAGCAGATGAATACGTAAAATATCTATCCAAGACGTAGAGTTCCAGTATCCCCATGGAACTAAGTACAGAGCGGGAATTTTTTGAGTGCTTTGTTCGCTGCCATATTCTAGCATTTACAGCCAGTGTCTAGCACATCCTAGGTGCTTTAATAGGTATTTGTTGTATGCGTGAATGAATGAAAGATGAATAAATAGTTGATAATCTCATAGCATCCGCACTTAGATGTTCGAAGATGCATATCTGATGAATCATTACGCAATTGTCTTACATATACTGTTATTGGTAGCAACATGAACAAAATGGTTTAATAGAGCCTTAGCTGTGATCTTCCCACTGCAATGTCTGGCAGCAACTACAGGTAAATGGACAAATCATAAGAAAAGGAAAAGTCTCATATCCTTTCTTTTTTCTTTTTCTTTTCTTTTCTTTTTTTTCTTTTTTTTTTTTTTGAGATAGAGTCTTGGAGTGCAATGGCTTGATCTCAGGTCACTGCAACCTCCGCCTCCTGGGTTCAAGCAATTCTCCTGCCTCAGCCTCCCAAGTAGCTGGGATTACTACGGGTATGTGCCACCACGCCCAGTTAATTTTTGTATTTTTTAGTAGAGATGGGGTTTTACCATGTTGGCCAGGCTGGTCTTCAATTCCTGACCTCAAGTGATTCTCCCACCTTAACCTCCCAAATTGCTGGGGTGACAGGCATGAGCCACCATGCCTGGGTCAGTCACGTACTTTCAGTGGAGCACCTGCATGCTGCTTTCATATGGTGTGTGGTCAGTTAGAACTTGGTGAACTGAACTGAATTTCATTTCTTTGTTTTAGTCTGTGGTGTTTGCTCTCACATCCCAAAACATCACCATCACCACTCTCGCTTTGGAATGGAGAAGTGAAGATATCATAGACACCATGTTACCACATGAAATACACATTTTTACAGCAGTGTAGATATGATGTGGGTAATCTGTAAAGGTATTGCAACTGGACTATCGAGCCTTACCATTCTTGTGAAGATTTGCTAAGCAGTGCGGCACTGAGCGGATTCCCTTTAATAGTATAAAGAAGCAAGCCTTTATTCATTGCTCCCTTTTTTTTTTGCCCAATTTCTTCAAAGATTCTATTAAATTATTGCCACTTTAGGGATTATATATATATATATATATATATATATATATATTCAATATATTACATAATAAAAGCTTTGTAAGTTGCTGAAATGACCAGATACCCCATTACAGCCAACAGGCCTCCTTTGTCTTGAATTTGCCCAACAGGCTTATCCCATTTTGTTATAATTAACATCCTATTATATAATGATGTATAACAAAAGTTTCAATGTAGCAAATGGAGCTTAAGACTAATTACCGTGCTATTACACTGCCATTAGTGGGGCTATCTATTTGTAATTATATATCAAGAACTAGGGAATATGAATTGGTTTTCTGTGTCTTACATCCACCTAGTACAAGACCCATAAAGACCAACTCTGAAATACTAGGCCAAGTCTCTGAATCTGATTTTGGTCTTTTAAGTCATTTCAGCTATTTTAAAAGTCAGAAATATCTACTGACTTGTAATAAAGCAAAAAATTATCACTTCCATGGTTCAGCAACAAAGTAGTCTTAATTAAACTCACTCTGATCAAAGTTTTCAGGGGCCTGCTGTTTTGTTTCTACACCCAGATATTTGGAATTATTCAGATGTCTGACTTTCCGCTGTTCATCAAACTGTTTTGATATGACATATATAGCTTGTAAGCTGGGTCTTCTTAGCAATAATCTTTGGATTCCGCATTGTTTATGGAGTTTTGTAGGTATCAAGCAGACATTATGAAGGACCTAGGGTAGGCGACGGGGCAGCCACAGGCAAATTGGGCTGATTTTATGCCCTGTTGCACCAGAATACGCCTTTCGTATGATGTGCCCAGAGCCCACACTGAAATTCTAGGTTGCAATAAGCAAGATGAAGACCATCACGCTGGCAAGAGTGCTGCCCTGGGCAAGCGCTCCATTGGTTTCTACAGCAGCTCATACTTACTTGCACAATCTTCTTGTGAAATGTGATTATTAATACTAATGTCATCCACAGCAATCCCACCAAAGTTTCCTTTTCCGATTTCGCCCTCGAAAATCACCTAACAAAACGAGATCATTTTCACAGTGCTGAAACGCTCATCTCACAAGGCAGGGTTTACAAATGCTTTTCCAGCTCCAGCAACGGCACATAAATTAAATTCATCAGATTCGGCGTAAGCACACACTTCACTCATCAATCCACGTTAGCTGCCGGTGAATGCATACACTGTCGCCTCACACTCGCTTTTTCTAATACAAACTTTAAATCGGGAGACAGCAGCAAACAAAAGAAACGATACATTGTGAAAGCCCAGAAACGGATGACAAAGAAGGAAACTGGTTCTATTCCTGCCACGTAGGAGACTGTGAAAGCTGCTACGAAGGTGGTCATCCTTGCAGGAGTATCTCAGGGCTGGGAAACACCGGAAATAATGTCGGAATAATTCCTGCCTCTCACTCGCATGACCTCCAACATATACATCGCAGCCACTGCCCACCCCAGCCTCAGGAAGAGGTCATACCTGGTAAAGTTTCAGAGACTTGTGGAGCAAGACACGCCCTTCCTTCCAGTGGTCACCTTGGTGTCCAATGGCCATCCAGACCAGCTGATCGTACTCCTCTGGCTTCTGGTAGTGCAGTTTGACCCTGAGTGTGCCGACGTGGGACCCAGACATGTGATACCAGAAGGTCATGCAGTGGGCGGAGTTCTGGGAATAAACCACAGGGCTCACCAGGCGAGCCACTTTGCCCTTCTGATTTTCGTCAGCTTGAGAATAGATGAAGTTGCCATCTCCTGCTGTGGCAAAGAACTGTATTAGGGAGAGTGGCAGGCTTATCACTCTTTCATCTCTCTTCTTACAAGTCTCACTAACCAAAAGCCTCCTGCGCTGAGCACCAAGAAGAGTGCAAACCTGGGGACCTTGTGGGTACCTAAGGCCCTGCTCTCAGCTTCTGCTAATGGACATTTGATTAGGGGAAGGTTGGGAAGTTGCACTAATTAGGATTCTACTTATGACGGAATGCATTGGCATATGGACACAGGCTACGGCTCAAGCTGGCATTTGCACCACCACAAGCAAACTGAAAGTACAGTCTGTGCATAGCCTGGACTGGAAATGCCAAATGCCCGGCTCTCCAGGAAGAAACCCTGTTTATTTATTTATTACGTTTGGACACTCGTGTTGCCCAGGGTGGGGTGCAGTGGCACAATCATAGCTCACTGTAGTCTCAAAATCCTTGGTTCAAGTGATCATCCTGCCTCACCCTTCAAAGCAGCTATTACTACAGCCCCATGCCACCATGCTCAGCTAAATTATATATATATATATATATATATATTTGTAGAGACAGAGTCTTGCTATGTTGCCTAGGCTAGTCTCGAACTCTTAGCCTCAAGCAGTCCTCCCACCTTGCCCTCCCAAAATGTTGGGATTACAGGCATGAAGCACCACGCTGGGCCTAAGAAATCCTGTTTTTATGTAACTTTAAGATCGCACAGCACCATCCATGTGAACGCAGGCATTAAACAAAATCACGGAGGTGTATTTTTACTTAGCCTCTGAGCAGCAGGACTTCTGATTAATGAAACTTCTGTCACTCTGACTGCTTGATAATCACAAACCTGTAGTTTTTCCTAATAATGTAGTGATCTTTTTTTTTAAAAATGTTTCGTGTTCAGATTATTTTTCCTGTAGTTGGTTTTCATGGTTTTTGAATTCTTTAAGCACAACGGAGAGCTTGAATCTCTACTGTGAGCCCGCTTCTATTTGATGTGGGCTTCTGGCTCAAGGAGAGGCAAGGTTGCCTTGTTGAGGTTCATTAGAATGAGCTATTTTGGCAGAGTAGACACTTGTCGAACTGCGAGGACTTTCTCTTGGCTTCACTTTTAATGACCCCCACTGGGAACATCTCCTCCTGCCACCACCTGGTCTAAACACGCAACTCATGTTTCACTGTTGGCTCTGCAAATAGAAATCATCGCCTCTAACGCCTCACCTGATTAAGTGTGAATCTGCTGCTCGGGCCTCAGTGGGCAGCAGGAGGCTGTGTTTGTTGCCCAGGAGGCTTGTGTGTTTGCAAGGTGCCTTCTCACTGTGCACATGTGGGCACATACTCCTGTCTGCTCGCCTGTGCCAGCTGTGTCCAGGTGGATGCGGATGTGTTTGCGGGCAGCTTCCTTTCCTTATCTGGCTGCTTACCTGAGAGCCCACCCTTCTTAAAAGCAGTGGGTGGAATCATAAAGGAAGGGTGTCACAAGTGGCCTCTCTAGCAGTAGGTTTGATACTGCAGGAGGAACGTCCCTCTCGCTCTCCGACCTTGCAGGGTGTCCCCTCTGTGACTGAGCTGATTCATTCATACTTAGGGTTTGTTTTGCCCACCAATTTACCAAGATGTGATCACCTGCCTGTGGGATGGTGTCATTTCACCATGAGGAATTCACCAACACAGGGAAAAAAAAAAAAAAAAAAAAAAAAAGCAAACACCCATCATGCCTCTGTCCCCGCTGTCTGACGGAAAAAAGATGGAAATTGGCTATGCAGCTGCCATGTCTTAACCCCACTTACTGAGCACATTGCTCGAGGTTTATTGAGGCAGCCAGAGAATGGGGGGTAGAAAAGGGAGAAGTGGACGTACGTAGAGGGGTGCTTTGCCACTGGACACCTTCACTCAACTGCACCGTGACCACTTTCCACCCACAACCAGACAGTGAGTTTCTCAAGCACAGGGACCCTCCACCTTTGTATCTGCATTTCCAGTGCCCAGTACCGCATCTGCCATGTAACGGGGCTTTTCAAATGACGCCTGTTCAGTGCACCTGGAGAGATACCAGATTTCAAGAATCCTCCGCCTCAGGAAGTTCTTATGGTCCCCACCCTTTCACACCGTGGTCTTTAAATGTGCTCCTGTGGCCAGACATAGTGGGTCACGCCTGTGATCCCAGCACTTTGGGAGGCCGAGGTGGGTAGATTACCTGAGGTCAGGAGTTCAAGACCAGCCTGGTCAACATGATAAAACCCTGTCTTTACCAAAAATACAAACATCAGCCGGGCGTGGTAGTGGGTACCTGCAGTAGCTCCTAAGTAGCTGTAGTCTTAAGTAGCCGGGACTGCAGCTACTGTAGTGGAGGAGGTGGAGGTGAGAGGTGGAGGTTGCAGTGAGCCAACATCACACCACTGCACTCTGGCCTAGGCAACAGAGTGAGACGTTGTCTTAAACAGACAAACAAACAAATAAATAAATAAAAGTAAATTGTGCTCATGTTGCTTCTCTGCTTAGAATTCTTCAGCGGCTGCTCGCTGCCTGCAGCCTATCCATACTTCTTCACAAAGAGAGAGCTGGCAGCCCCTCCAATGGACCTTTATCTGCCTGCATCCTGTTTTCCTTCTGGTCATGGCATCACCAATTTAAGGTGTGGTATAAAGAACCACCAGGGTCCTGCATAAAACACACACACACACACACACACGCAGTCACAATAAACACCCAACACACAAACTTCTGCTCTACTTATTCAAAATGGAAGGAATCCAATTTTATCAATTTCCTTGTCAATCTCATTAGGCAAGGAGGTAGATCCCAAGGTCATGCATACTCTGCTTCTATCTAACCGCTTCCTATACAAACACCTGGGCAAAACACGCCACACACGAGCCAGCCAACCAAGCCCAGCTCAGCCGGTGTCTGAAACAGAGCTGCTTTCCCTGACCCTCTTCCAACATCTTTTAACATGGTCCATCGTCACTGGCCTCTGCCCCTGGAAGCCCTCACTGAACTGCACTGTGGTTACTTCCCAAACATGATCTGACTGCAAATTCCTCAAACGAAAGGATCTCTTCCTTTACATATGTATTTCCAGGGCCCAAGATAGCATCTGCCCTGTAACAGAACTTCTCAAATGCCACTTAATTCAGTGAACCAGAGAGAAATGATATACTTTAGGAATCCTCTGAAAGGAGGTACCCAGTTCCATTCTTAGAGGCCAAATGCAGAAAGTCAAAAAAAACAAAAAAAATGGGATGCCTTTCAATATATTCAAAATTAAGCAGCAGGATATTTTACCCGGCTAGTGTTCATTTTCTTTTTAAACAACTCAATGTCTGGTTTGCAAAGTTTCACCAAATAACATTATAAAAAAAAGCACCATCTACTCTCTAATGTCAGTCTCTGCTCGGGAGCTTCGTGGAGGGCTCTTTTCATCTAGATCTTTTTCCCGTTAACAAGTAGTTCCTGCCTTTCAGATGTCGGGTTCACCCATCTCTCTGCACAAATGATTGTGTTTCTAGAGCTGCAGGGGCTCTTTCTAGTCGGAGCTGACCTGGCACCACCGCCAAGTAAATCTGGGTGGCTGGGAGAACAAAGGAGTCCAATCCTTCTGAAAGAATCGCACTTCTTGGCTGTGAATCGAAGACAAGCCCTCCTTCTCTGATACTCGAACACATAAAGCACTGATATTTTCCCTGTCAAGGGTTTTATCACAGTTCTGGGTCAGGAACTCTGTCTTCATTTTCTCAATTAGCACTTTACTTCTGCAAGCCTCTAGCTTTTGTCTCTGGCTAACATAGCTTTTAACCTCCTTTGAATGTCAGATCCTACTGAGCCATTTTGCTTCACTTTGCATCAATTTTTCCACCATTACTGCCTTCATTTTGGCTAATTGCATTTAGTTAATTTGATGCCATTTATATGTACAGTGCCATTTACAGTCAAAGTATTTGAAGTTTTCTAAAACTGCCTGTCTTAAGATTCAATTGAAAGTGTCTCAGAATTGAAGGAGTCCAATTTTATCCAATTTCCTTGTCATTCTCATTAGGCAAGGAGGTGGCTGTGGTGGAAGGAGGCCTATTCAACCTATTTAATGGTGATATTCACTGGGAGAAAAGTGAACCACAATATGCGAAAGGCCTGAAGTACCCTTGGCCCAGCCTTCCGTCCACTGACTCACTCACCCAAAGAGCCAAGGTGGGGAGAACTGAATGAGACTTCCTGGCATCAGCAAATGCCCCCCTGGGGTACCTTTTGGGAAGCCACTGCTTGAGCAAGCAGTCGTCTGTCAGCATTTCTGAGTGGCAAAGAAGTTCCTGGATTGAGTGCTTGTTGTGAGTGTGTATACAAGTCTGTGTGTGTGTGTGTGTGTGTGTGTGTGTGTGTGTTGGGCTAGACATTGCTGGTTCTTTATTTATTTTTATTTTTAATTTTTTTTTCTGTTTAGAGATAGGTTCTCATTCTGTCACCCAGGCTGGAGTGCAATGGTGCAATCATAGGTTACTGCAGCCTTGAACTCCTAAGCTCAAAGGATCCTACAACAGACTCTGGGACAACAGGCACGTGCCCTTATGCCTGGCTGAGTTTTAAAATTTTTTTATTTTGAAGAGTCAGTGTCTTGCTATGTTGCCCAGGCTGGTCTCTAACTCCTGGCCTCAACTGATTCTCCTGCTCTGGCCTCCTAAAGTGATGGGATTACAGATGTGAGCCACCACATCTGTCCTGCTGGTCCTTGATACTGTACCTCAAGCTGGGCAATAAAATGACTAGGTAGGTAGCAGGATGGGGACAGATAAGAGGGTTCACTGGAGAAGCTGCCCGCTCTTTTGGCCCCCCAACCCATTCCTCCCCCACCAGTTAATCTTAGGAAGAAAGTAAGGCAGGAGATGGTGGAAGAGTTGTGAGCTAGGACGTGGTGAGCTTTCTACCTGCTCACAGGAAATACACCAGACCTTAAGTCTTTCCCCAGCGAGTAAGAATCCCATGCCACCTTGCCCTACCTCCCCTTCAAGGGTCTGGAGAGAGCAAGCATTGGGAATCGTTTCTTTAGTTGTAAAATCAGTGAGATGACATAATATATGCTTGGACTTGTTTGACAATAATTCAGAGTCAGGGATGACAGACAAGTTTCCTATGATCTGATAATTGTTGAAGCAGGGTCATGCACATAGAGAATTCATTCTACTATTTCTTTTCCACTTGTGAATATGTTTGAAATTGCCCAAAATGAGAAGTTCAGAAAACATATAAGATAATGCTAATGCATACATCTTTGCCCAATTTGCCATTTTTCAAGGAGGCCAATCAGTGGCCAACTTCAAGGGACATTCCTGTGATTTGCCCTCTGCTTTCTCTCTACTAGGGAAAGAGACATTGTTAATTCCAGAAAATAAGAGCACGTGTGAATGCTCGTAGTGTTTCCTACCCCCTCTAGACTCACAGGCCTTGCGAATTCGGAAACCCTCCCAGTAACCTCGTCTCTGAATCAGAGAGAATCTGCAAAGCGAGGCAGCTGGAGCGAACTCTGTTACCTGTGTGATCCTGAATGGGTCCTGTCTTGCTGGTCAACACGCTCCACTTGAGCTGCACACGATTGTCATGTTCCCAGTGGCAGAAGGTCTTGTGAGAGCCCCAGCCAAACTCACAGTTAAAACCATATGCTGGAAACTCTTCAGTGGGTGGGTAGAAAAAATAAGAGACAAACAGGGAAAGACAAATTTGATCATTTAGGATCACAAAGGCCCTTCATTCATTCATGGAAAGCACGATTTATACAGCTTCATGTCTGAAAATGCTGGGAAAGCCACAAACGCCAGTATCACCAAGAAACCAAAAGATGCATGGAGATGTCAAAATCTCTGCAAAATCACATTTAGTAATTTCTTTAAAAATCCAGCTTTAAAAGGATTACAAATTGGGTTTACATAAACTTGGGTTTACATAAAATTTCCAGGAAGGCTATTTTCTAAAGCATGTATTACATTTGCAGCCCTCACCCAAGTTCCCCAGTATTTAATATGAAAGCCATTCTGTTCTTGAGGATGAATTGTATAAGTTGATACCCACCAATGAAAAGAATCTTAATTAGAGATTGACCCCCGAAGCCTCAAAGGTGGAAAGTGACTTGGCGAAACGCCTCACCCGGAAGGTTTTCTCTATTTCCACCTCACCAGTTCACCCTTCGGGTTTTTCATGTCAGGGTTAGAATATCATAAGCATTTTCTTAAGATTGTTTTTTTTTTTTCCCTTCCATGCTTTCTCTCAGGTCGACTAATTTAAGTATAAATTTCTGCTTTTTTTATTTCTAAATTTACATATAGATTGTCCACCCGGCTTAAAACCTCAGTGCAAGGTCATCTAAATCCAAAACACACTTCATCAGCTACCGGTTTTAATTTTTTTTTTTGTGTGTGTGTTCAAAAGGCTTCCTTAGGAATCTGAAAAGAGAGCATGAATGAATTACAGGAATGATTTACCTTGTGTATGCCCTAAAGGTGCTGTCGGACTATGGTGATTTTAAAACCCACAGCCTTATTTTTCACGCAGCCTCTTTTTGAAAAGGAGCTTAACTTTTTAAGTATGGGAAAAATGAAATCCTTGCTACTTATCCTAAGTACAAATATTGTTTTGGTAAACATAAGCTAACAACAAAAAAAAAATTCTAAAGATTAAATTCTCAGGATTTGGCCCCTCCTTTCGTCCTTCCAAAGAAGAATGAAGCCCAAAGACATCGCCGTTTTCTCCAGTGAAGAAGGGGGCTTTAGGCAGTCCACGAGATGGCAGCATTGAAACAAACAGGAAGGCGTCTGGGGCGTCTGGCCCATTGAACTTAAAAAGAAGCCTCCAAAGAATCCCAGTGAACAATAAGGGAAGTCTGGATGCCTGCATTAGGGTCAGGCCAAGACCTTATCTCATTTTGAGTTTTTCTTTAACTCGCTCATATTGAATACAAAGTATCTTGCTTTCTGCTCTGAGCCTGGTCTCCACGGCCCCTTCCCCAATGGCAGGAGGAATTTTAATGGGAAGATTTATTGAATAGATAAGAATGATTTACTTTGCACTTTTAGTTTCTAAGGAACCCTTCGCAGGGGCTAATGTCAAATTTTGGAAGGGACCCGCCGTAAGAACCGTTAAAATGAAGCAGGTTGGATTCTCCCAATGATAATGTGACCTCCCAAAGGGTAGAGAGGGCCAGCTTGGGAAAGTAAACTTGTAAGCTATGTGATGTGTATAATGTGAGTACTTTTGTTTAGTGCAAAAAGGCTATATTTCACAGCTATAGTGTCATCGGAGAGATATATTTCATGTCTAGTCTATCATAACCATGAAATGGGACTTCTTAAGGCATGAGAAACCCTCTCCAGAATCTACCACACTTTCCTAAAGCAAGATTGAATTATGTAGATGAAGTACAGTCAACTGAACAGTGATGGTGTCGTTGAGCAACCTTGAATGCCAATGCCCAGGACCCTGAAATGTATTGTTGCATAATCTCATGTGAGAAAATGTTAATATTGGAACATATAAATGCATGTGTGGTTTTGATTTTTCCCCCTAAATGTACTTTACAAAACATGCACACGATGGATAGTGAAAGCCACCCCAGCACACACAGTTCTGCCTATGTTTACCTTGTTAATACATTAAATTTATTGTCTACAGAACAGAAAATGACATCATCCATTATTGTGGCTATTAATATTCTGATGATGTCATAAAATATAGGAACTTGGATACTTTTGAGATGACCAGGACATGGAACAGCTTTGCCTGAAAAAACGTTTCAGGCACTTGTCCTCGCTTCGGTGAATGACAGTCCGCCTTTACCTTCCAATGTCCTTCCCCTCCTGGACATTTAACAGGGCGAATTGCTCTAACTTTTTGTATTCTACTGCCCTTGCATCTTCTTGTCTTGATCATATAACTCATGGCAATTTGTTTATTTAAAGGATATATTTTTAAGTCAATGCCTTCTGTGGGGGAGGGTTATGGAGTGAGAGGTTCAGTGTGGAAACTTCAAGCCTGGCTGGAAAGACAAACACGAAAACTACCCACTGAAGTTTACAGAAAGCAAAAAGTAGGAGAGAAGAACAGAAGAAAGGAGAAAGGAAGAGAGAAAAGAAGAGAAAAAAGCAAATGAACGAATGAAACAAACGTTTACATTTTCAAAATAGTACCCAAGCCCTGGAGGAGCACACACCTCTCATTAAACTCAATGAAGGTAATCCAGCGAAATCCCTTCTTGACTCTTAAAAATAGCAGGAAACAATATTCTGAACTTAAAACAAATTTATAGCCTCTGAGAGCAAGTACCAGCTGTGTGCTTGCCGAACCCCTCTTGCCTGAAGTTGGATCATTAGCACCATATGTATGCACAAGGATTTAATTTTTAAATCTGGTATTCCAAAATTGTATAAAGCAGGTTAACTCACTTATGCATAGACTAGTCTTTCGGTCTAAACAAGCAGAGGTCCTGAGGCTCATGCAATGAGGCTCATGCAATTAGGAGTGATGAATATACTCCTAGCTGCTGCAGGAATGCTGGAGGAGTCTCAGAGGGTTAGAGTCCTTGCCAGAGAGAGCTGGATTAAAAATGTAAGGATCTCATCAATGGCTGGCTGAGCATTAACCAACTTTTATGTATCTGATTACATAAAAGTATATGAATATTATATGCCCACGGAGTTTATTATATTGATGAGAATCAGCAAGATGAAATTGTATGACTCTGCTTTGACTCTGTAATGGCAAAACGGAATTCTGATGAAGCTTTTGGGGTCTGAATTGACTGCTGCTTGTGATGATGCTTGAAGAATCTGAATCCTGCAGAACAGTGTGGATCAAAGTATCAGGTGACTCTGACCACTGGGTCAACTCTTCAGAGTGAGACCTGACCCCTGGCTTGAAGTATGCTCAAGTCCCCATGAAGAATTCTGGGCATTGACTTAGCCAGAGGTGACAATCAACAGAAATCCTTCCAGGAAGGTCAGACAGGGCATAACCCACAAACAAAGACTTGGAGTCCAGATTCATGACTCAGACAATGGAGAAACAGGAAAGCAAGTTAATTTGCAAAGGACTCTGCACTGACTGTGAAATTCAAACCGGACCAGACCACCCCTGATCAGTAAACCCGTGTGGTTTGAACTGAACTTGTTCAGATGGTGACAGCAAAGGGTCCTCCTACTGTTCATAATTGGCACACCTGCCCTCTGACCACAGTAGACTCTCTGACAGGACCCACTGGCCCCTCTGAGAAGCCATCCCTCGAGTGACCTTGAGGTCGTGCACAAACCGAATGTGTTCACAAAACCATTCCTGCTCTGACAATATTGACCTTCAACATTCAGGGAAGAGTACCTAGATCTGGAATCTGATAGAACTTTCCATTTCCTACACAGCTGTTGTTCACTTTTATTTTTTTTTAACGAGATCCCTACCTCCTTTCATAGTCGAGGAGAAGAGAGATGAGATGAAACAAATTAGTTGGCAACTTTATACTGGCTTTAATTACCTCTCTGGCAAGAGAGAACAAGCTGTAGCAACAGCTAACATGTTCGTGACATGATCAGAACTTCACTGATTCACCTCACCCCTCTTCCCCATCCCGGAAGGGTCACAGAGAACCAACAGGCAGTCACTATTCTTTATCCACAGAAAATCACCCCAAGGGCTGAGAACTTTCAGGAAAGGTACAAAGGAAAGGAGAGGCAGGGCTTTTCTCCTGAGGTCCCTTCAGCTACGGGAGGTGCCAGTGCAGTCTTTAAAAGCCACGTTTTATGACTTAAGATGTGTGTAGGACTACACCATTTTTCTGAATTTAGGCAGTGACTCCTGTTTCATCTCTTGGTTATGTAGAGGGTGTCTGGGCTGTGTGGTAGCAGGAATCTTGTCAACCTGAACATGCCACAGGGCAGCTGGGGGTTAAGTTGGACGGAAGAGAAGTTTGTTTTGCAGTTTAATCAGGTCAACAGTAAGCGTCCTTTAAGGAAGCATACTAATTAGGGCAGCCCTTTCTACTTTCTGCCTAGCTGGGTAGTGTCATACCGTTGAGGAAACACTGATATACACCACACGCCCCATTAATAAATGACTGCAGAAGCCAAGGCTGAGTGAGCTTCAATAGAGGAAATGGGAGAAAGCTGGAAAACTGACCTGCTCACCTTACTTTAATGATTAACTTTCAAGTATTTAAAACTTCTGATTGCTTACACTGACTGTTTCCCTTTGCGTAGGTCTGCCGGGAAGAATTTCACAGGATTCTAACACAACACAAAGGCCAGCAAGAGGAAGGCCACCGTTTAACCGTGACTGGCCCCCGACTGATAGCAAACCCAGGGTTTTAAAAGTCGTTACGCTTTTCTGTTAATAAAAGGATGAGGAGGTGCTGTTCCCAAAGGTACGCTTCCCTCCGTGCACAATTATAAACTGCGGTTTCCTGAACCCCGTTCCGTGGCACACCCACTGGAAATGCTGTTGTAAAACTGCCAGCTCCATGCCAGGCAAAACTGACAAAACTTTGCCTGTCTCGGTTTTGCAGGATTGCGATGAAAATAAATAGTCGGGCTGTGCTGCCTGTGAGATTTCCTTCTCCTGTAGTTTGCAAACACAATCCATGTCCTAGATGTGCTGCGTTTAAACAAAGTATGTTACTCCATTCCTTCAGTGGAGAGCTGGGATTGTCACCATTTGGCAATTACTGATGGAGAAGGAAATCTCACTCCCTGCTGCATATACATGTGGATGAAAGGAAAGCAATATTTATGGCTCATGCTTGGAGACCAGATGCTGTGTGGCATCTCTCCTTCTAGGACACTCAGGGAAAATGAAAGCAAGGAGCGCAGCCACGGAGAGGAGCGAGGTACATGGAACCTGCCACATTTCCTGTTTTATGTGGTACCTGATTGTATGGTGCTGTCTATGACCGTGGGCTTTTCTGTGGTCAGCACAGTGGTGCCACCTGAAAAACAAAAACAGGAACACACAAAAATAAGAAAACAGTCACGAATGTGCGCGAGAGAAATGTTGCATGCTTACATATGTCTATCAAAGGCAAATATTTTCCACGGAAAAATCTTTTAATTCCAATGATAGCAATTGTTTCCTTGAAATTTTGCTCACCACGATATCAAATAAACCTTTTTTTAACCTAGAGCATTTCTTTAAAAAATTTACAAATAAAAGAACTGTCTAAATTAACTAAGAGAAGTTGTATATATTTATGGCATACAACGTGATGTTTTGATATAGGTACACTTAGCGGAATGGCTAAATCAAGCTAATTCACATGTGCATTATTTCGTAAACATATTTTGGGTTATTTTTTTGGTTAGAACACTTAAAATTTACTCTCTTAGCAATTTTCTTTCTTTTTTCAATTATTATTATTATTATTATTTGAGATGGAGTCTCGCTCTGTTGCCCAGGCTGGAGTGCAGTGGTACAATCTTGGCTCACTGCAACCTCCGCTGCCCAGGTTCAAGTGATTCTCTTGCCTCAGCCTCCCGAGTAGCCAGGATTACAGGCGTGTACCACCATGCCCAGGTAATTTTTGTATTTTCAGTAGAGACAGGGTTTCACCATATTGACCAGGCTGGTCTTGAACTCCTGACCCCAAGTGATCCATCCACCTCGGCCTCCAAAATGCTAGGATTACAGGCTTGAGCCACAGTGACCAGCCTGCAATTTTCAGGTAGACAAGGTATCCTAACACATTTTTTTTTCTTTCTTTTTTTGAGATGGAGTCTCACTCTGTCACCCAGGCTGGAGTGCAGTGGTGTGATCTCGGCTCACCCCAACCCCTGCCTCCCAGGTTCAAGCAATTCTCCTGTCTCAGCCTCCCTGCCACCATGCCTGGCTAATTTTTGTATTTTTAGTAGAGACGAGGATTCACCATGCTGGCCAGGTAACTCAAACTTCCGACCTCAGCATCCAGAAGGCACCCAGAGATCGAGACTTCACTCCACAGGCATGCACTGATTCTCAGACGAATCACAGCACACAACTGCAACAGCGAAAAGCAAAGGCCTCTGAATGTCCTTAGTGACTTGAGTATTAAACTTGACCTTGACCTCTAAGCTTCAGATAGCTTTCCAAGGTTTCAAGTGTGTGCCTTTAGTGATGCTGCAAGGCCGGTCCCCGTCATCTATTTTAAAAACTGGAAAACTGAGGGTGTCAAATAAGACAGTAGCTGTTCCTTCTCTCTTTGGCTACTGGAGCTGTTTATTTTTCTCAGGGACAAATACCCTGCCCTGCATGTGGTTTGGAGAAGCCACAGGAAGCAGCAGGGAAAGGGGAACAGGAGAAACATTTCACAGTCCCAAGGAACTGGAAGATTGAACAAATAACACCCTGAGCGCTGCAAGCTCTCAATTAGTGCGGGCCTACTGCATCTCCCTGGCCAGGGGACAGGCTGTAACCTTACCTACTGCATCTCCCTGGCCAGGGGACAGGCTGTAACCTTACCTACTGAGACTCAGCTTCACCCTCTTCCTCCTCTTCACTCACCCATTTCCCACTGTTCATCATTATACTTCTGTTTTAAAGTAGTGTTCTTAAACTTGCCCAACCATAAGAATCACCAGAAGGCTTATTAAAATTGCAGTCTCCCATCTACCTATCCTCTCCAGACCTAAATGAGAACTGGAATCTCTAGGCGTAAGGCTTCGACATCTGTATTTTGTTGAGACAGAGTCTCGCTGTCACTCAGGCTGGATTGCAGTGGTGCCATTATGGTGCACTGTAGCCTTGAACTCCTGGGTTCCAGGGAATCTTCCTGCCTCAGCCTCCTGAGTAGCCAGGACTGCAGGTGTATGCCACCATGCCTAGCTGTTTTTAATACTTTTTTGTAGAGACAGGGACCTCGCTATCTGGCCCAGTCTGGTCTCAAACTTCTGACCTCAAGTGATCTTCTTGCCTTGGCCTCCCAAAGTGCTGGTGTCACAGGTGTGAGCCACCATGCCCAGCCAAAATCTGTATTACTGAAAGCTCCTCAGGTGAGTCTTATAATCCACTGAGTCTGGGAAATAGTGGTTTGCTATTTATTACTTAGGTGTCTATCTGCGAAGCAGATTATGGTTGGAAGTAAACTGTTATCTCCAATTGAGGGTAAGGCAATGGGGTGGGCCCATGACTACCATGGAAAGTTCTGGAGGTGGTTACAGGGTGCCATAATTGTGCACTTCCCAATAATATCATTCAATAACGATTTGCGACTATTTTTATTCAGTCCAGGCCTATCTGGCAGCTCCCACAGATCAGAAATCATGTTACATATCCATAGCATGAATCAGAGAGCCGTAAAACTGTACTCTTGGAACAGTCTTAAGATTTCTAGCCAATCAAATGCAGCGCCGAGTCATGCCACCTCAGCTCTCCCAGCAAAGATGCTGGGTGAGTGGTCACACGTGTGCACGGCCTCAATAAGCCAGGCACGAGGAAGAGGGAATTATATATATTATGGGTTAAGAAGGTGAATCTATAATGGCAGAATTGGAGGGAGGCCAGAATACATTAGCATTTTGTTCCCAGTGGTCTTATAGGAGAAAGATTCAAGGTGAAAATTCGCTTTTTAAAACCAATATGCATTATCAGTTTTGCCATAGGTTGGGAGCCAAATTCCACTGTTGGGTAGACACAGCTCCGAGGCCGCCTGGTGCCTTTGAAGCCAAGTGTATTATCTAATGACTTCAAAGGCATTTGCAAATGAGTACCTGCAGGGAGGCACCTTCACCTTAGCTAGCAGGCCTGGGAGAGCACATTCTACTCATTTCCACGCATTTGGTCCAGTACACCTGGAATTCCGTGTGGTTTGCAAGTAATGAGCATTTCACTACGATATTTCTCCCCTCTAGATACAAGCGGGCCACCCCAGGAAAAGAAATTACATCAACACCAACTGCGCTAAGGAACAGACTACCCCTAAAGACAGCATGGATCCCAATTTCCAGGTCCCACTTATCACGGTGAAAGAGTAATGCTCTTGGTTTGGCTTCATCACACTAAACACCCAAAGTTTAGAGTTCTCACAGCAAAGCCTGTGCCAGAATTAGCAAAGAAGACGCACGATTGCTTGTGAGCATAGGAGATGGTAGTTTCCATATAAAAAGCTGTCTGGGTTAGGTGAGGTTTTCGCCCCTTGCAAGCAATGACATGTGAGCACATCCCTTTTCAGAAAAGAATAGCAAATAGTTTTGTAAAGTAAAAAATGTTTCAAAAAAAATTGCCTTCTTGCAAGAAATGGATATGAAGCATGAGAATGTCTTTTAAAATGACTTCTTGATGGAGGTGTGGGGCGGGCCTTATCAACATCCTCAGCGGTTCTTAATATATGAGAGGATTTATAGAATTATTGAGACAAACGTGCTGGTCTGGGAAAATAATTTTTTTTTTAAACCATGGTAATATGTTAAAAAAAAAAAGTCAGAATGAACTTTCTTCTATCTACCCAAGAAATAATTTAAACACTCTAGGTAAAGCAAAACCTTACAGTTTTGAAAGGCTGTCAGTGTTTCCACAATAAATGACCCATTTTCTGTGGTTTGTAACTCGCTGCCATACACAATTTGCTCCAGGCTAACACACTCGCCCTATTTCATTCACAGGCTTCGGTTTCAATTGATTCAGTCATGAACTAACGCAAAAATGAGAAGGCGGGTTGTTCTGATATGAGGAGTAAATCTGCGGCTTTGTTTCTAATCAATATTAACTGACCACTTTAGGGTTTATGAAGGAAAGAACCCCTTCCACAAGAGGGCAATTGAAAGGGTACGTTGGGATCCTGCAGTCATTCCTTTTTATGAGAAATTCACTGCGGATGTGTGACAGGGTCCACAAAAGGCCTGAGGTTTGCGGCCGGGTGTTTACAGGCAACCCTAGGAAGCTTCCAGAGGACTTGGCTCATGGAATAGCACTGTGTTTTACATCAGCAGTTGAGTTTTCAACTTGAACTTGACATCTTACACAGAAAATGCCTCTGCATTAATTAATCTAAGTTTTGTGGCTTGTGGCTACTTGTACACAAGATTTGCATTCAAAACCTCATAGCAATGTGACATTTATTGGCCATATAAATGTAAGTGATTATCCTGGAAATTTGGAAAGAGACAGCTTTAGGAGGTGGGATTTAAATGTAAACCCAGTTCACAGTACTAAATTTCTGGGAACAGATTTTCTTTTCTTTTTTTTTTTTCTTTCTTTTTTACTCTTTATTCCATTTCAGAGTGCGAAGCGCTCTCGCTCCTTTAGAGGAGAGATTTGAAATAATTGGAAATGTACAGTGGGACATTTACTTCCCGATTTTGCACTAATGCATTAGGCAATAACATGGCCTTATTATAAAGTTACATGGTAACGCCTTCAGTTTTACCCACGGAAATTAATTATGTGGGCTCTCTGAGTCCCTTCTGGGTAAAAATGTGGACCTGCATTCAGAAGCTCCAGTTTAATCTAAAATGAGAGTCAGATGCTATGTGCAACTGCATTTTGACCCAGGGAGCAGTAAAAATCCCACGATACCTTTTGCAACCACAGGGTGAAAACCTTAGTGCCTTGGCCAACGTCCAAATGGTATAACACCACTTCTCCCCCTGTCTAATACTTCCTCTGCCATTCCAAGTGGAAGAGAAGGTCACTTTCCAGCTTTTAGGGTTTTAGGAGATTAGAGAGTAATACTCCAGATTAATTAGCGAGACATTTGGCATACAACATTTCTGATCTATTTGCTGGTCGGCTGGGATGTGAAATAGCAACTAATTCTGCGTTTGTAAATGTTAATGTAGAGTGATTTACAAAATCCCAACTTAAAAGCCGCACTTCAAAAATAAGCTGAATTCTATCCGTTTGTTGGAAAAAGGATCCACTCAAAAAAACTTGTCCTCATTAGAAAACGAAAATAAACACTCTGAAGGGTGCGGTTATGCAGGGGCGGTGCCTGTGTTATGGGAGGAGGGGGGTCTGAAAATGAGGATCAGTTTAGCACGTTTAGTCATGGAGAAATTCTTATTCAATTAAGATAATCCTAGCCTTCGGCTCTGAAAATGGCTCAAATTATTGTTTCAAATGGTTGTGGCTGCTAAGAACAACTCGTCTACCCAGATGACGTGAGAAAACGAAGACACACGTGTTCTGGCAAGGCAGCTTCCATTCCCGGGGCAGCTCCCTGCTACGCAGAGTTACAAGCACACACACACAGGCATCAGCCGGTCCCGGCTACGACATGAACTGAAATGGTACAGCAATGGGATGAAGATGGTTTCTGCACCTGTGAGCTGGAAGTCATCACCTGTTCCACTGTGGCAGTTGGCCTGGTCGTCATCACATTCATCCACTGGGTTCCCGTTGGGAGTGGTTGGTCCAGCTGTAGGGGCTGAAAGAAGATGCAAGGATTATTATCTCACACCTTCAAAATGTATTCTCAAGCCTCTGGCTGTTGGATCTGCTAACGCTTATGCAGAAAACTTTAATCTTCGGTAAGAAGGCCGGGGGCATGGTTTGCTCTCTTTCAGGAGCTAAATATACTTGGATTCTGCAGAATGTCTAAGAGCAGAGGCTGCTTCGTTTTGGTATCTGATTCATATCTGCTGATTAGGGTGTGCTGCCTTAGCATTTTAACCATTGTTATCTATGTAAACATCCTTCTTCTGAAAAGCTCTTGAATTCTCACTGGTTATTTCTTCAGGACCCTGGGGTTGAGAACTTTGAAGATAGAGATTTTGCTTGAAATGCTTTCCCTCTCATTTTCAAGGTGTTAGAGCACTCACTTGTCACACATTCTTTTACATTCTTAGTATTTACTGAGTTTGCTAAGTTTATATTATAATTCTTCCCCAAAGGGAGTCAACATTCACATTTAGTGCAATTGTGTGTGTGTGTGTGTGTGTGTTGAACAGTTATTCCATTTCTCTTTAAGTAGCTTCTCGAACTCTGAGCCCTCTCTTCAGGGCAGGTGTGGGAGAGAACTTGTCTCAGTTATCTTGAGGTCATTAATTTACCTGAACTCCCATAGGATGGCATTCCACTGTTTGCAGGTATCCGCGTATCTTTGAATTTGTAGTTGAAAGGTATCTAACATTAATCAAAGACTGCTTTTGAAGTCCTTTAAATTTCGTTCAGCTATTCGTTTTCAGCCTGTTACTCATTTTTGCAATCTGTTTAATATTTTACAGTTTTCGGCATTGCATTTCACTTTACAAGACTTGAGATAATGGATAGCTCTCTTGATGTCTGAGAACCATACAAGATGTTGGTGGCTGGGGGCTGTTCTCTTTTGGCCCATAGGAATGTGTCAGTAACTGTTGCTTTCTTTGTAAGAATTTGACACTGTTTGAATGGTGCTGAAGCAGCACACGGGGTTATTGCAAATGGGGAAACAGAGCCAAGTTTCGACTTCTTCAATGGCCCAAAGACACACACCACTAATAATGAAGAGGTCACCATGCGCAAATAACACACATGGGATTCAGCCCTGCAAGCCAGACTTTTTAGTGAAACACACACCCATCTTCCGGGCTCTACTGTTGCCTGCACGGAATCAGTAGCATCTGCTTTTGCAAGCCGGATAGCCATCTTTCTTCCCTAAGCTGTCCTTGCTCTTGACAACCTGCTACCTTTTTAAGTATTTAAAACTCTATTCATTTTGCTGATGTTTCTGCATTCATCAAGCTGTTTCTAAAGGAGGAGTTCCTCCTTGTAAATGGCCTAAGGTAGTGCCTAGGTTCACTAGATTCAATTGAAAAAATTTTTTCAGTTTTACTATTCGAGAATATATTATCTTCTGTTCTGTGGTTCTTTTCTTCTTTTTCTTTTTGGAGATGGAGTTTCACTCTTGTCACCCAGGTTGGAGTGCAATGGCGTGATACCAGCTCACTGCAACTTCCACCTCCCAGATTCAAGGGATTTTCCTGCCTCAGCCTCCCAAGTAGCTGGGATTACAGGCATCCACCACCATGCCCGGCTAATTTTTGTATTTTTAGTAGAGACAGGGTTTCACCATGTTGGCCAGGCTGGTCTCAAATTCCTGAGCTCAAGTGATCTGCCTGCCTTGGCCTCCCAAAGTGCTTGAATTACAGGTGTGAGCCACCGTGCCCAGCCTGCGTTTCTTCGTTTCTTAAATATAAATGCTAGCACAAAATAGGACAGACACACCTGGGAGGCTAGAGTGGACTGCATCCTTCCCCTGCATTCCCTTAGAGGTCTCCCCTGGGACAAGGCATACAGTAGGTATTTAATAAGGGCCTGTTAATCGATCGAAGGGAGAAGATAAGCATTCCTTTTCACCAGGCATTTCAAAAGCTTTGGCATCACTTTCCCCAGAGCAATGTCCTCACTTTTGTGAGTGGTTGGAAACATCTGTAGGTAAATCCCTTCACTGACAATTTCTACCTCACTACAGCGGTGACACTGGAGAGTGGAGACTCTGACTTCCCAATGGGTCCTCCTTGCCTGCTGCCTAGACAGGGCAGATTTCTCAAGGCAGGGGAATAGAGAAAGAGTTTAATTCATGCGGAGCGGGCTGTATGGGAGACGGAGGTTGAGGTTTTTAAGGACAATTTGGTGAGCAGGGGTTGATAAGCGGCCAGTGCTGATTGGTCAGGTCCGAGATGAAATCATAGGGAGTCGAAGGTGTCCTTTTGGGCTGAGTCAGTTTCTTGTGGGGACATAAGATGGGATGAGCCACTTTATCCATCTGGCTGGTGCCAGTTCATCCATCGAGTACCGGGTCTGCAAAATACCTCAAGCACTGATCTTAGGTCTTAACAATAGCGATATTATCCTCAGGAGCAATTCGAGGAGGTTCAGAATCTTGCAGCCTCTAGCTGTATGACCCAGAAACCATAATTTTTGTTTTTCCCTAAACCATAATTTCTAATTTTGTGGCGAATTTGTTAGTCTTGCAAAGGCAATCTAGTCCCTAGGCAGGAAGGGAGTTTGTTTTGGGAAAGAGCTGCCATCGTCTTTGTTTCAAAGTTAAACTGTAAGTTCCTCCTAAAGGAGTTTGGCGTACGCCCACGAATGAACAAGGGTGGCTTGGAGGTTAGAAGCAAGATGGAGTGAGTTGGGTCAGCTCTCTTTCATCGTCACCATGTTCTCAGTTACAATTTTTGCAAGGGTGCTTTCAAAACTGCCACCAGGCTGTCTTTTCAACCCCCCATTCCCCCCACCTCCTAAATCAGCATCGTCTTCCAAAATTCAGGCTACAGAGTCTCATCCTGGGAGCAGATTCCTTTTCCAGATGACCACGTTTCTCCGTGAATTGAATGAACTCATCTGGAGTGAGTGGAGTCTGCCTATCCCTTCTTTTTCTTGGTATCCTTTGCCAAATCCCTGGCACATGGACGTTTTTGGTCTGTGTTGATGGGGCCTGGATAATTTAGGGGACTGGGGCAAGACTGTAGATAGGGAAACAACCACACAGTAATGAATGGGAGATAATGGCTTGCTTTTAAATAAACACATTGAAAAGTAGCTATGAATTATTCAGGAGTGTGGTGATTGATAGCTGATGATTCTGTCATGCATAAGAAAAGTTTCATGGTATTTAATGAGCTCAGGAATTTAATTATATTTGGTAGCTCAAAACACAAATAATTTTAAAATCGCAAGAAGGTGACATTAAAAAGTATTCTTCAAAACAACCATGAGCCTATACGCTCGATTGATTAACATCTGGATGCCAACAAGAGTCATTCTTGAAGCTGGGCTGGAGCAAGACCTCTAAGAGGATAGAAAAACTGGTGTAGGTTACTCGTCTATGCCCAAATGTAAGGCAGATGGGAATTCTAGTGCATAAATATATCAAATGGTACGATAACCGACTCAAAACACTAATTTCCTTTGCTACATGTTAAAAGAGAGGGCAGCCATGGGGTCAGCGTGTGGGCTGAATTTGTACTTGAAATGACCTTCATATCATAATCTAAGTGTAGGCAGTAACGTCACTGTACTTTCAGACACTGTCTCATGTAAAGTTCTGTTTCCCTGCAGCAGCCTGAGATATTAATCCAGGATAATGTCTTGATGTCTTAGAAACGCTGTTTTCCGTTTCTTTTTTTCCTTTTTCTTTTTTTTTTTTTTTGAGATGGAGTTTCGCTCTTGTTACCCAGGCTGGAGTGCAATGGCGCGATCTCGGCTCACCGCAACCTCCGCCTCCTGGGTTCAGGCAATTCTCCTGCCTCAGCCTCCTGAGTAGCTGGGATTACAGGCACACGCCACCATGCTCAGCTAATTTTTTGTATTTTTAGTAGAGACGGGGTTTCACCATGTTGACCAGGATGGTCTCGATCTCTCGACCTCGTGATCCACCCGCCTCGGCCTCCCAAAGTGCTGGGATTACAGGCTTCAGCCACCGCGCTCGGCCTTGCTTTCTGTTTCTATGTGCTCATAATCGAAACTGTGGACAGAAACTCGTTAGACATAGACCTCTAAATAATATTTAAAAGACAAAAGTGGTTGCCAGGGTTTGTGAGAAGTTACCTGCTTACTGGGCAAGGAGTTTTACTTTGGAGTGATGGAAATATTTTGGAACTAGATAGAGGTGGCAGTTGGTAGAACTGAATTGTAAATGTGCTAAATGCCACTGAGTTGTTTGTCTTCAAATGGTGAATTTTATGTTACGTGAATTTCAACTCTACAGATTATCTTTTTTTTTTTTTTGAAATGGAGTCTCGCCCTGTCACCAAGGCTGGAGTGCGATGGCATGATCTCAGCTCACTGCAATCTCTGCTTCCCGAGTTCAGGCGATTCTCCTGACTCAGCCTCTGGAGTAGCTGGGATTACAGGTGCATGCCACCAGGCCCAGCTAATTTTTTGTATCTTTAGTAGAGATGGGGTTTCACCATGTTGGCCAGGCTGGTCTCGAACTCCTCACCTGGTGATCCGCCCACCTCGGCCTCCCAGAGTCCTGGGATTACAGCTGTGAGCCACTGCACCCGGCCTTTTTTTTAAAGTCAAGAGAGACAATCCCATAGAATCTGAGGAGAGTCATGCAAACAATCAAAACAAAAGGAGGACTGTGAAGGTGTTGCCTCTGACACGAGTCCGAGTTGTGAGCCTCAGTGATGGGCAGGCTCGGAGATACAGTGCCTTCCACGGGAAAAGCATAGGCGGTTTACAATGGCGCCAACAGGAGCATAAAAGCATGGAAGAGGAAATTTAAAAAGAAATGAGAAGTAACTCTGGAGATCGTAATTACCTTCCATTTCACAGCCCAGCAGCTCCATTCTGAGCCCCAGTCCGCTATGAGTAGCTCTCTCGGGGTAGATCCTGACGAATCGCGTGGAAAGAGCTGGAAAAGTCCGCAGCTCAGGTGTGTCATAGTTGTTGTTGCCCTCAAAAGACTGTGAAGCATGAAAAACACACGGCATTAAGAAAAAAAATCAGAGCTCCCTTTCGGCAGCTGTTTCTTCCCTCCTGCAGGACTCTGAATAGGGCAGAGAAATAATCCTCATTCTACCGCTTTGTAAATGGTGGCATCTTTTTCACGACTGAGAAAGGAAAAAACAATGAAAGCTTTTTTAAGAAGTGACAGATGCCATTTATTTATTCATTCATTATTATTATTTTTCGAGATGGGGTCTCACTCTGTTGTCCAGGGTGGAGTGCAATGGTGTGATGGAGGCTCACTTCAGTCTCACCTTCCCTGGGCTCAGTGACCCTCCCACCTCAGCCTCCTGAGTAGCTGGGATTACAGGCACCTGCCACCACACCTGGCTAATTTTTGTATTTTTTTGCAGAGATGGGGTTTTACCATGTTGCCCAGGCTGGTCTCAAACTCCTGGGCTCAAGTGATCTGCCTGCCTTGGCCACCCAAAGTGCTGGGATTATAGGCATGATGTCATTCTGAGAAACTTCAGAGTGTACACTGAGGCTATATCAGAAGCTGAAGTTTTCATGAGACACATTTTTAAACCATATGCTGATACCCCTTGGAGCAGTGACACATTTATCACTTCCTTGAGGTGGAGGAAGATAACAGAAAGAGAACTTGCCATTTGTCGGTGCTTAAAGTAGACACTACATTTTCAAAAAATACTCCTGTTATGTTTTCTTAAATGAGAGAGTCCTAGTTTTGCTAAAACTTAGCCCTCTAGAAGAAGAGGGAGGAATGTCATTTCTGAAGTAGGAGATGGTAAATTTAACTTAGTGAAACTGTTTACTTGAGAACTTAGGTTACTCCAATCCATTGAAATGCCTATTTATTTAAGAAGTATCTTAGGAGGCAGAGGTGGGTGGATCACGAGGTCAGGAGATCGAGACCATCCTGGCCAACACGGCAAAACCCCATCTCTACTAAAAATACAAAAAATACCTTTGCATGGTGGTGTGTGCCTGTAATCCCAGCTACTCGGAAGGCAGAGGCAGGAGAACCGCTTGAACCTGGGAGGTGGAGGTTGCAGTGAGCTGAGATCGCACCACTGCACTCCAGCCTGGGTGACACAGTGAGACTCTGTCTCAAAAAAAAAAAAAAAAAAAAAAAGATGTATTGCCAGTTCGAGTCATTTGTAGATAAAAGACCTTGTCATGTCAGGAATGTATCAAAAGTCCTGAATTTTGAGTAATGTTCTGATTTCTAGTTGAATGGCACTATGAGGCATTTTTCTTTCTTTCTTTTTTGAGACAGGATCTCTCTCACTCTGTCACCCAGGCTGGAATGCAGTGGCACAATCACGGCTGAATGCAGCCTGGACCTCCCTGGGCTCAGATCCTCTCACCTTAGCCTCCCAAGTAGCTGGGGTTATAGGCATGTACCACCACGTCCAGCTAATTTAGGATTTTTTGTGGAGACAGGGTCTCCCTATGTTGCCCAGGCTAGTCTCAAACTCCTGGATGCAAGTGATTCTCCCGCGTCGGCCCCTCCAAGTGCTGAGATTACAGGTGTGAGCCCCTGTGCCTGGCATGAGTTGGCATCTCTTTCGAACTGTGTTCCTGGCTTGAAGTTCCTGTGACACTTTTCAGGAGCTCTTGGCCACCCACTGCCAGTGCCGTTGCTGGCTGTTTCCTTTTCACATGCACGAGTAAGTCAAAATCCTTGCTGGAATTCTGAGAAGACGGAGCAATGATTGGCCTGTTTTCTTTTTCAGAAATGGATGAGCCTCCTTATATGCTCTTCTCTAACATCAGTCTTAATCCCATCCCGAATGGGGCAAGTTGGAGGGAAGGAGAAAAAGAAAATTGTCTCATCATAAAGAATGTCCTTTTAGATATCAAGCATTGCAGGACGTTTGTTAGAGTAGGGCATTGTTCTAACTGCTTAAAATCTATTAACTCATTTAATCCTCAAAACAACTCATGTTGTCATCTTCCTATAACATTGAAAAACCATAAAAAACCATTGAAAAACCAGGTTCTCAATTATTTACATAGAACCTAATCTATGATTCCGAACTCATTCTTCCACTGGAAAAAAAATCTCTAAGGTGAAAAAAAAAAAAACCTGGTAAAATGGTCAATTTCAGAGCAGCACTTTGTTTTTGAGAGAGAGAGTCTTGCTCTGTCACCCAGGCTGGAGTACAGTGGCGTGATCTCAGCTTACTGCAATCTGTTCTTCCTGGGCTCAAGCGATTCTCCTGCCTCAGCCTCCTCAGTAGCTGGGACTGCAGGTGCACACCAACACGCCCTGCTCATTTTTGTATTTTTAGTAGAGATGTGGTTTTGCTATGTTGGCCAGGCTGGTCTTGAACTCCTGACCTCAAGTGATCTGCCTGCCTCGGCCTCCCAAAGTGCTGGGATTACAGGCGTGAGCCACCATGTTCAGCCACATATTTTTTCTATTTTTACAGAGATTTTAAAAACATGTTACACTTAATTCTACAAATGAAGATAAATTCTCCATGAGGTAAATTCTATATTATCCTCCTTTTTCAGACAAGGAAACTGAGGCACAGAGTGGGCAAGTCATTTGCCTATGGCCATACACACAGCAAGTGGCAGAGCCAGGACGCAACCTAGGCGGTCTTAACTGGCTCCCTTAACCACACCATGATGATGCCTCTGCCCTTACAAACCATCTAGTCCAGTCTCCTCATTTATTTACTTTTTTCAGATGGAGTCTTGATCTGGTTCCCAGCCTGTCGTACAGTGGTATGATTTCGGCTCACGGCAACCTCTGCCACCCAGGTTCAAGTATTTTCCCGCTTCAACCTTCTGAGTAGCTGGGACTGCAGGTGCCTGCCACCACCCCTGGCTAATTTTTGTATTTTCAGTAGAGACGGAGTTTTGTTATGTTGGACAGGCTGGTCTCAAACTCCCGACCTCAGGTGATCTGCCTGCCTCGGCCTCCCAAAGTGCTGGGATTATAGGCGTGAGCAACCCAGCCGGCCCAGTCTCCTCATTTTAATAGGTGGAAACACCACGGTCCAAGAAACATCTATGCCCAAGGCCACACATTTAGTTTCATTAATTTGTCTTTAATTTGATGCAAATTGGGCTAGTGGACCTGGTAGATCAGATGGAGTGGCTGGCCGGCCCCAGGCCATGCCAGTCAGGAGTGGGAGCCATGCCCAGTAGCTGTGTCAAGACATCATAAACCAGCCTAATATGTGCTTATTCAGTGGTGGAAATGTCATAACGAAACAGTGGAAGCATGTCAGTGAAGACAGATTGGGTGCGTTGCAACAGAACCAGTGGGTTTCTGAGTTCTAGAAGTAAATTAATTGGACTTTTCCAACCCAGAACAGCCTCTAGGAATTTAAAAATGCATTGCTAATATAGGCCTGCCTCTTCCAATTATAATTTCTTTGTATTTTTTATCAAGAGTAAATTCACTATCGGGGTTCTGTGCTCTTTATAGAACAGCAATTGCTGCCAGTAATTGAGACTCTGATGCACATTATTGTTAGACCCAATTAAGCTGTTGTCAGTAAGATACTAATTATAATGAAAATACCATTACTACACATGTAAGTTCTGTCTATGTTAACATACCTCCAAAGATCACAGCAGAAAAGCATTTATATCTATGGAATCTCAGGCTCATCTCTTCATTTTAACTTGAGTAGAGAATTAACACAATGTAAATACATTATAAAAGCTGTCAGTGCTGTGCTGGGAAGAATATTAGCAATGGAAACCCATCTGCAACTAGGCTAACTTTGATATAATAAACTTGCTTATGAATTCTTTGTGTTCCATGGCTAATTATGTTTTAGAAGATGAGGACTTTGAGTGTTTGGATTTTCTCTCTGTTGCTAAAAAGTCTAGTTAATGCAGAGATTCTGATACAGCTTGCCCATGACACACTATTTTGGGAGTAGAGGGTAAGGAAAGGGTATTGAGGATTTGAATCCATCCAGGTGCTGTGGATTTCACTAAACAGAGCGCTCACTTTACTTTTACGTAAAAGGTACCTGGCCTCTTAAGAGGTAGCCTTGATTTGTAACATTAAATATAGCACGCTTTTAAAATCTTCATATAATTAAAAACCATGTGCCACTCTAAAATGGAAGGTTTTTACCCGTTTTTTTTTTTTTTTTTTTTTTTTTTTTTTTTTTTTATTTTAGAGATTTTATTTCACTGGAAGCGTGGGTTTAGGAATCATAGATTAGGCTGTATATAAGCAACGAAGCTTTCACGGTTTTCAATATCATAGGAAGATGATAATGATGGATAGAATCCTATTTTAGAAATAAACCCTAACACGTTCAACCGATCTTGAGTTGAGTGTTTTGTGAAAGTTGAAAAATGCTTGTTGGCTTCTTATGGGACTCTGCGCTCGATTTACTACAGAAGAGTGATAGCTTCAGATCTGGTGCTGGCACATGAATTATATAGAGCCGAGGAAGCACGTGACGCTTCGTATCAGAAGCATATGGTGACTTGTTTTCTTTCTCTCTCAGAGCCTAGTGTTGAAGAACATGTCACCCCAGCACGCGCTGCCTTCGCCAGCAGCAGGAAGTTGTTGATTTGCGGCATATTCACACTTTCTGATGCAGTCAGAGCGCGTTGCTTCTCAGAAAAGATCTGCTCAGAAAGGAACTCCAGTTTCTAATGTTTATTTTACTTTTTCTCTCTCCCAAACAAGAAGGGAAGAGACAAAGGGGGAAAATGAACCAGACGCAAGAAGAAAGGTAGCTGCGCAGAGAGATAAATATAACACTGAAAATATGTTAGAAATTGTAAGTCAAGGAAGGGAGAGACGGAGTGTCAGGTATTTCCGATGGCACCAGCCCTATCGGTGGCCAGCTGCTCTAGTGCCAACTGGCGGCCTGTGAGGGACAGAGAGGTGTCCTTGGAGCCTCCACATCTGGAGGTAGCAGAAGCTGGCGGCACAGCTGGGCCTGCCGCCTGCAATGCCTCTGGCCTGAGTCACTATATTAAGCCATATTCTCACACTTGCTTAGAGTGGGAGTGAGGGTAATATTCCCCCCAATAAGCTGAATCTTTTTTTCACAAGAGGAGTAGGTTCTGGCCCAAGGCTAAGACCAAAAGGCCCACTGTGTTGGTGTGAGAAGTATCATCACTGACTATAATTCCCACACTGCACGTAGAACTTAAACTGCTGGCTGGCTGTGGGTTGGTCCAGATTTGAATCCTAAACCAGCTCCCGGGGCACCCAGCGCACTCCAGGGTGTCCTTTCCACATTGCTGTTGTGTGCTCAGGAAATGCAAATAAATTTAGCCATCAATCTAAGTAAAATATAATGACTGAGGTAGATCAGTTTGGTTGAAAACTTTTACCCTACGATTTGGTGAATGTTGGAATATTTTTGTGGTGAGATTTCCTTTTCTTTCCACTGGATTATCAAGAGCCTACTACATCTTAAAAGGCTTCAATGCGTAAAGAAATACACTTAAGCGGTATTCACAATCGCTAAAGGTGGCCGAGACCCAAGTGCTCATCAGTGGGTGAACGGATAAACAAAGTGTGGTCTAAACACTCAATGAAATACTATCCAGCCTTGCGAAGGATGGAAATTCTGACACAATGCTACAGCACGAAGGACCCTGAAGACATCGTCCTGAATGACAAAAGCCTGTCACAAAAAGACAAATACAGTGTGAAGTCCCTAAAGTGGTCGAATTCATAGAGACAGAAAGTAGAAGCGGTCATCTGAGGCTGGGGGCACGGGGGCTGGGAGTTGTTGCTTAAGGGGTGTAGCGTGTCCGTTTTCCAAGATGAGAAAGTTCTAGAGATTGGTCGCACAATATACACATACTTAACACTATTGAACCGCATACCCAAATGCCTGGGAGTTGTCTGCACGGGGTTCTGAGTGCTGGCTGGATGGCTGCTGTCAGCCCCCCGTTTCTGTCTCCTGTTTGCACATTAAGCTGAGCGTCCTTCCCTACAGGGAGGGAATGGGACCAGCAATGCGATTCTTTTGCGTGTCGTCTCACCATGGCTTTCCATGCCGTCTTCCTGTCTTCCTAGAATCAAGAGTCTTACTGACCCCATCACACACCTCCTCTGATATCACAGCTGGAAGGAAATGAGAAGCAGCCCTTCCTCGGGAGAATGCCAGAGGCCCTTGACTGAAGTCTAGGACCCGAGGGACGACTTCCTCCCAGTCCCCAGCCCTCACCTTTGCCTTGTGTTTGCTGTCGTCCATGATCATCTTCCAGTCCGAGCCGTTGTTGCTGTACCCGATCTTGAACTTCCTCATGAACAACTTGGTCTCTCGGTGCTTCCAGCCCTGAATGATGATTCCCGTCACGATCTTCTCCTCTCCCAGGTCGACTTGGAGCCACTCGTTGATGTAGGAATGAGGTGCGGGTGGCAGTGCCCAGCCGGAGCGACTAGTTACCAGGCGGCTGTTTTCAGGCAACCAGTTTCTGTCCCCTTGGTTGGATGATGTGATCTGGGCGTCAGAAATAAGTCCAGACACCATGCCCAGCATTCCGGAGCAAGGGTAATCTGGGAGGTGAAATGAAATAGATAATGTAAAATGATTTTCTGGGTGACTCCACGCTAAGAAAGAAAATACAACACATGGAATCAAGACATGGTCTTGTACCCAATCATATACAATTTCCAGTCTCTGGATTATTTTACAGTGAACCTTCCCTCCCTCACACCTTCCTCCTGCTCTGTCAGAATTTCCATCTCTACACTCACATCCCAGGAAGGCAAATCTTCAATGAGAACATACATCTCCCCGGCTTTGAGGTCTTCTAAGTTTACTATTCATATTCCAGGCTCTTTGGTACCCAGAATTCATCCCTCGATCAAGTACAGACCCTGTCTAAGAGAAGTTCATTGTTTATGATAGGTTGGAGATACGCAAAGAAGTAAATCCAACAGCAGGAAAGTTGCTAAAACAAAGGTAAAGAGACAGTGGTGCAGAGGTAAAGAGAACGATTGCATGACTCAGCCTGCAGAGGCAAGAGGGGGCTCCCAGGGGAGGTGGCATTTGAACTGCGTGTGGAAGAACAGTGATCATGATCACCCCCAACTGTTCTCCCCACCCCTATTGCTAATTGCACTGGGAAATTTCCACATGAATGTCTCACTGTCGTCTCAAATGTACCGCAACCAGACTAAGACAACATTCTGGAACAGGGATCATCTGAGAAGTGAAATGAAACAGATAATGTAAAATGATTATCTGGTGGATACTGCAACCCTCTTCTGAACCCTGCCTTTTAATTGGTGACATCACCGATCAGCCCGTTCCTGCCTAGTCATCTTGTCATTTCCGTTTTGCTGCCAAATCCTGTTACGTTTTTGTTAAGTAAAGGAAAGCAACAGAGTTCTTGTTGCCACCTGCCTGTCTTCTGGCGTTATCCTGATCTGAGCACACGAGCTTTTGGTTGGCCTCCCAGACCTCATTTTTGAATCACCACTGCAACAACTGCTCTTTAACTTTTCAGAAAATGTTGCTTTAACCATGCCAGTCTCATCCTCTAAAATCTCCACTGCTAAGTGAAAGAAGCCAGACAAAAAAAGGGCAAATATTGTTTGATTCCACTGATATGAGTAGGCTATCAGTAGATCAGTCAGATCCGTAGAGACAGAAAGCAAAATGGTGGCTGCCGGGAACGGAGACTGGGATAATAGTGTTTTGTGGGTGCCGAGTTTTAGTCCGAGATGATTAGAAAATTCTGGAAATAGACATCTGGAAATAGAAATAGGTGATGCTTGTGACTGGACTTAATGCAACAGAATCATACACTTAAAAATGTACAATGTAAAAAGTAAAATGGTTAAAAGTGGTTGAAAACTGTTAAAAGTGGTAAATTTTATGTTGCACATATTTTACCCCAATAATAACAGAGCTGTCTTAAAAATTTACCATAGCTTTCCATTATTGATAGGAAAATACCAAAACTCAATCTGGCATTCAAGACCCTCATTTTGATTTCATCTCATTTGCCTAATTTGATTTCCTATTACTGACAATACATCCCAGTTAAGAAATTCTTTTCTCATACACTCTAGGCATCCTCTTCATCATTGCCCTTGCCGAAAACCCAGCTTAAGACTCATGAAGAGAACTTTTCAAGCTCCTCCATCTTTTGTTCTGAGCTCTCCCTTTTCAGAAACGTGATGCACGTAGCACAGAGCTCAGCACTCCACTGTTCTCTAGAGGCTTCGAGATTGTTAGTCACGCATCCACAGCTAGATTATAAGATTTTCAAAGGCAATGAACAGTATCGTAGACCTTTTTATGTCTCCTAAAGCAGCTCGAGTAGCTTTGAGCACAAGGAGAGTATCAATCACTGATGAATTGAACGGTGGCCTAATAACAGAATGTCCAACACTTCAATTACTGTCCTTTGGAAACTGTACATCCCAATCGAGGACATGGACAGGAATGATAACCTATTTTTCTTTGAAGCAACTCAATTCTGCACAATAATAATCAAAAGTAAACCTAAAAATATAACTACTCCTAAGTGAGAGGCAATCATCTGATGCAATTAAACCAAGTCCACATTATCCGCTGAACCTTAAGAATTAACTTCTCAGACTCTTTGCATGTGAGTTAAAAGGTCTAGACCATGTCATTTATTTACTCAGATATTCAGTGCCTTCTTGTCTTGAAATTACCCATGTAATTTTCAATCAGGCATGCAGGTCTTCCATACCATGTCCTTGCAAGGCCTCTCCCCATTAACCCTTTTACCGGTACCAATCGGCATGAAGAACTTCCTTACTTCTGGGAGTTTAGGGCTTTCTTTCTGTTCCCTCCACAAGGAACTCCACATCATCTTACCCTTTTCCATTATCTGAACTGCTTGAAATCCTGACCTGTTTTCGAATGCCATATCACTTACTCAGTTTTTCCAGTGGCTGCAACTGGACACAGTGTCCCGTTTCTGGGCCTTTTCACACCACTTTATCTGCATCTCTCTCTCTCTCTCTCTTTTTTTTAAGATACACAGTTTCACTCTGTCACCCAGCCTGGAGTGGAGGCGTGTGATCATGGTTCCCTGCAGTTTTGAACTCTTGGCCTCAAGCAGTCCGTCCACTTCAGCCTCCTGGGTAGCTAGGACACACGTGGGTGCCACCATGCCTGGCTAATTTATAAATTTTTTGTCTCGCTGTGTTTCCCAGGCTGCTCTTAAACTACTGAGCTCAAGAGATCTTACTACCTTGGCCTCTCTAAGTGCTGGGATCACAGGCTTGAGCCACCACACCCGGCCCTCAAATGTTGATGACTATATTTAGTTCTTTGGAATGCTGCTCTCTGCCTCCCTAGATTTTTAACTTCTTTGAGGACATGAACTAAGTCATATTTTTCTATTTTCTATGACTCTTCATGCCCTGTTTTATACATAGTATTTGCTCAACAAATATTTGTTGAATGAATCAACTTCTTAATACAATAAAAGGCAGCTGTCATCTGCTCAAGTGCCCTTTCCTGTAATTCAACCACAGTATTTGTTCCAGGCTGGGATCTGGAAACCAAGAAAAAACTCAGTTGGGATTTAAAAAAGATTTACAAAAACAATTTTACTAAGGGACTATGAAACTATAGTGTTAAATATAGGGTGCCATTTTTTGGCCACAGTGGTCATACCTGCCTGATTCCACACCAGCTTTTAGAAAGGCAATGTTTAGCTGGTAATGGGGACCAGATGTTACCATTTGGAGGAAAACATAATTAACTTGAATACTGTAAGGAGAGCAGAACTGTCACCAGATTAATGCCCTTTTTCTAATGCAGACTCGGCTGGGGCATAATTTCCGTATTCACAGACCTGGTGATGCCCTGCCCCCATTCAGCCAACATAGCCGTGGAGCAAAGTGAGATTGTTATTTCTTCCATATGGCTGCCTCATTAGAAAGAAAAAATGAAGAGGCAACTTGATTCGCCTTTGACTGAAAACTATGTGACTCACTTTTCACAATAATTTGGAGAAAATTTACATTAACAATTAAGTTAAAGTTTGATTGAGATGCTAGTGTTTAACTCTGTCCCTTCATAGCAGGCTGGCTTAGATGTAGTTCAGCCTGGTATAGGTCAAATCCTTTGGAAATAGCGTCTCCAGATTTAGCAAACAAACAGTAAAACAAGAAACAAGACGTCCAGTGAAATTAGAATTCAGAGAAATAATGAACAATTTTTTAGCAGACGTTATGTCTCAAATATTGCACGGGACATACTTATTCTAAAAAATTATGTCTTGTTTGTCTACGTCAAATTTAACTGGACATTTTGTATTTCACTTGGCAACCTTGTTTGGAAAGCTTAAGACCGATTCGGAATAGAAGGGAAAAATGAGTTTTGTAATGGAGGATTGAGGTGATTATTTTCAGTGATATTATTTCACAGTAAATCTCTGTACCCGGCTCTAATGGAAAAACTGAAGTATACTGGTAAGTCAAATATCCAGTTAACCAATTTCCAAAGAATGAGAAAGTAATAACTGTATTCGATGGGAGAACCTGAATGAGCATAATTTAATCTTTCCTTGATGACTCAGAAAGTACCCCTGGATATTATGGTGGCTGAGATCATCGTTGTGAAATCTGATTGACTTAGGAGCACGTGAATATGTGTGGAAGTGCCGGGTAACAGACTTCTGGTTAACAACACGAGGTGGCAGAGTTCATAGTGTGTTAAACAGCCATTGTCCGACATGGTTTTCATCAATTTCCACCTCTGCCAAAATGATGAAGCCTACTTGGTCCAAATGATGAAAATATCCTTCATCAATCACCTATAAAGCAGAATGGTTTGTTCCAATCTTATTTTCTTTATATCTCTATATGGTGACAAACTGAATTTTCCAGGTTTACTCTATTTCTAAAAAATAACTTCAGAGTCAAAAAAATCAGGGTAAAACTTGGGGCTCTAGTGGCTTTGGAAGTCAAGTGATGTGTTCAAACAGGAACTTTTACTTAGGTAGGCTTAAACAAAATCCAGATTGAATTTGACTACTCAACAGGGTTAAAATTTGAATCCAGCCCTTTGTTTCTCAGAAGGCATGGATACAATTGCAATTCATTCATTCAAAAGTAACCCCCAAGCGTTTGTTATGTCCCGGGCGTACAGGACACAACGGAAAATGAGGCAAACAGGTCCCGGCTCTCCCGGACCATCTGGTCCAGTAGGGATACCGTAATCCCCTTTTCATTCATCTCCACTCCAAGGGGACCGTAGCCTCAAAAAGAAGAAAATTCTGTTTCTGATAACCAAGAAGAAAATCTTGAAATTACTGTCTTATTAGAGGCTCTGCTGGCTGAAGCATATTCTAGGTTCAACACATTGGGTGCCATGTACTATGTTAATCTACTGGGTACCATTTAGTGAGCAGTTACTTTAAGCCTGGGGTGTTCCAAATTTTCTTTCATTTACTCCTGATTATAGTTGCATTAGGGTGAACTTCACAGATCAGAAAATGGAGATGAGAGTGAGTCTCCATGTCTTGCCCACAGTCAGTCACACATCCACTAGGGGGACAGTCCACAGTCAAGCCTGGATATGTCTCCCTACCTTCTGTCCATGTGACTATCGTCAGTCACATATTAGCCTCTCCAAAAACCTGCCTATGGCAATTATTTGGAGACTAGAGACATCTTACTAGAGAGAAAATATTTAAAAGTATAGCGGGGACCATGATTAACAGACTAGCGCTGGGAACCAAAAGGAAGCGCTTCATTTGAAAAATAATTAGTGACAATTATGTATGAAAATATTAGGATATGCTATTTTAGACATCCATGTTTACATAACCATTTAACTATTCTTAAAAATTGAACCAATTATTTACCTTCTTTGCTCACATTCCTAGAATTACCTCTCAGGGAAATCCTTGTGAAAATTTAAAAGGACAGTTTAGGTATAAAAAATATTTTATTCAACTAAAATGATACAACATAAATCTCTAGGAGCCTGGAAATTCAGAGTTTGGACTAACATGTTTGGAGTCATTTTTTTTTTAATATAGTGACATGAGATAAGGTTGAAGAAATGGGCCAGAAATTTCCACCCAAACCTCAAATGGCCTTGTTTCTACAAATTTATGGATAGCAGCACAAATTTGTAATGCTCTGAAAATGCTCTGTCATCTAACTGCTGATTGAAAATAAAGCCAAGGGTATATCTAACTTTCAATGGCCTTTCTTCCTTCAGACCCCTCTCCACCCCATTCCCACCTCTGAGGCCTTGAACTTTCTAAACCTTAGGTCCTAAAATAATAAACAAGTCTGTTTATGAGACAGAAATAAATAAATTTTTTATTAAAAATCGGATGTTGGTTTTACTTTCCGCTCTGAACGCTACTGTAAAAAGTGTAGTATCCTCTGTTCATTAGCTCTTCCCAAAATGGCTTATAATTTCGTGGAATATTGCCAAGGTGATCTTTTTTCCTTCCAAAGTCAGTATTTTTCTTCTCTAAAAATAATTAAACTGAAGAGGATAAATATAAAAATGTGGAATAAAAAATTAAATGCCCCAAATACATAGATAATATAATATTAAAAGGTAGTTCAAAGACTTTCAGATATTGCTCACTTTTAATTATTTTTTAGTGAATGGGTCAACTGATTCTGTCTTTGAACTTTGAAGCTTACCAAGAAGATCACATTGTTCTGTTTTTTTTTTTTTTCATGGTAGTGGCGGTTGTTTCAATAAAAATTTGACAATGTATTTACTAAAATGGAAAGGAATTCTAATAGGACTGCTATATACTACAGAATATAACAGTCATGCAAGAAAATACATGAAAAGGCTCGATGCAGTAGCCTATCTATGCCTATAATCCCAGCACTTTGGGAGGCCAAGGCAGGGTGGATCACCTGAGGTCAGGAGTTGAAGACCAGCCTGGGCAACATGGTGAAATCCCTTCTCTACTAAAAATATAAAAATTAGCCAGGCGTGGTGCATGCACCTGTAGTAGTACCTGCTACTTGGGAGGCTGAGGCAAGAGAATCGCTAGAATCTAGGAGGTGGAGGTTGTAGTGAGCCAAGATCACATCAGTGCACTCCAGTTTCTGTGACAGAGTGAGACTTGTTCTCAAAAAAGAAAGAAAGAAAAAAGATAAAGCTGGTCAGGGGCAGTGGCTCATACCTGTAATCCCAGCACTTTGGGAGGCCAAGACAGGAGGATAGCTTGAGCCCAGGAGTTTGAAACCAGCCCAAGCAACACAGGGGTTACAATTAGTTGGCCATACTGGTGCATTCCTGTAGTCCCAGATCTACTCAAGAGTCTGAGGTAGGAGGATCACTTGAACCTGGAAGGTCGAGGCTGCTGTGAGCTATGGTTATACCACTGCTCTGCAGCCTGAGTGACAGAGCAAGACTCTGTCACAAAAGAAATAAATGAATAAAACTGTTGGAGAATGTTTCATGCAATAGTTACTTACTGTAAATCTACTAAGTAGTAGTCAGTGCCCAGGAAGCAGAAATGGAAGGCATGGTACTTGCCTTCATGGAGCTTACAGTCTAGTGGAAAAGGTACCAGTAAACAAACACCTACCTCGTCAGACTGTGCTAACTGCTTTACATCCATTATCTACTAACAATGCATCATCACAACTAGCCTGTATGGTGTAAATTATTACGACTATTTCCCAGGTAAGTTAACTAAGGCTTTGACCAAAACAAACAAACAAACAAACAAAATTGCTAGTGAGTAGTAAGGCAGGATTTGAACTCAGATTTGTCTAAATCCAAAGTAGATGCTTTTAACTATCAAATAAAAATGATTGCATTTACAAACTTATTCACTCAGTATGTAAAGGTTTGCATACATCAAAACAGGACAGTCTTCAACCTAGACGATCCAGTCTTCAATCTTCCACAGCTTACCTGTTATCTTGCAACCATATACTTCAAATCTCATAGATATGCCAGTTTCCCAAGTTGCAGGCTTGATCCGGACAAATCGAGTGATCACTGGTTTGGGCAATACTGCAACCACAACATCTGTGGGGTTGGTGTTTCCTTGAAAGACCTGTATGGGGGAAAAAAAGTGCCTTTCTTTAGCAAAGGCTTTGGATTTAGATCCAAAAATGTGTTTTCGCAAATGGTTGTAAAAATTATTTACAATTTCAGCATTGTCTATCAAGGATGAGATGGCATTAATAACTTGCCGTGTTAGTTTTTTTCAATTAGCAATCAGAATGATGTCTAAAACAAAATATTGTCCTAATCATCGATCCAATTTTCTGAGAGGCTAGAGCCTTTAAAAGCACTATTACATGGATAACACTTATTAAAGAATGCATGCTATTATCTAAAAAGTGTGAGACTATTAACTTTACCGGAGGACCAAAAGGATACTGCAGACGTGTCATGAGAACGCTCACTGCTCTGCTTTCCCAAGAGCCCCTAGAAGGGATGCTTTTTGAGTTCAGTGTAGAGTCTGGCTTTTTGACACTCTAGGCTGTTTTCAGCTGCAGGACTAGGTCAAATAATGTTTTCTCCTTTGACTTCATTCCTTGATGGAAGATCTTGTCCCTCACACTAATGCGTGACTTTAATCCTTATTTGATTATTGGTAAAATTATGTTTTAGCGGTCAAAGTCCAAACCGAGTTATAAATTATTTTAACTAAAAATCAGCTTTTCCAGGGCTTCTGCCTCAAGATTTATTTATCTACTTATTTGAGATGGAGTCTTGCTCCATCAGTCACCCCAGCTGGGGTGCAGTGGTACGATCTTGGCTCACTGCAACCTCCAGCTCCTGGGTTCAAGTGATTCTCCTGCCTCAGCCTCCTAAGTAGCTGGGATTACAGGCAAGTGCCACATGCCTGGCTAATTTTTGTATTTTTGGTAGAGATGGGGTTTCACCATGTTGCCCAGGCTGGTCTTGAACTGCTGACCTCAAGTCATCCACCTGCCTCCATTTCCCAGAGTGCTGCGATTCTGCTTCTAGTTTTAAATGGAGTCATTTTAAGAAAGATGAGGCATGTGATAGCAAATATAATACATGCCAGACATGAATGGATGTTTCCTGCAAGGATTCACGGGACCACTCTGCCCGGGCGTGCAGCAGCACTCTCCAGTAAGATCTCCGAGGACTAGAGACTTTGCCGTTACTCAATACTCTGCTTCCCCTTCCCTGGATTTTACTTCTGCCTTGGGTTGGGAACAGCCAATGGGTCGATGACATTTCTCAGCCCCGTGCCTTGTACATTCAGCACTATGATTCTCTGTACAGGCGGGTCGGACCCCAGACCCCTCCTCCTAGGCTGCAAACTGGAGCACCACAGGCCCACCTGAGGTGTGCAGCTTCCTCGCCACCTTTCCAGGTGAGGACCTGAAGGAAGTCTACCGTTTCCCAAGTCCTGCTCTTCCCCCTGGGAAAAAGGGCTTGTGAAAGTTGGGCTGCTGTTTTTACTTTATGGAATTTAAGTCGCCTGCACGACTAAAGGTGGTTAAATGCTTTACAGAGTTGATTGTGGCTGGGTGTGGTGGTTCACACCTGTAATTCCAGAACTTTAGGAGGCCAAGGAATGAGGATCGCTTGAGGTCAGGAGTTTGAGACCAGCCTGGGAAACATAGTGAGACTCCATCTCTCCAAAAACAAACAAACAAACAAACAAACAAAAATTAGCCAGGCATGGTGGTGCACACCTGTGGTACCAGCTACTTGGGAGATTGAGCTGGGAGGATGGCTTGAGCCAAGAGTTTGAGGCCACAGTGAGCTATGATTGCACCACTGCACTCCAGCATGGGTGACAGAGCAAGACCCTGGCTCTATTTTTGTTTAAATAAGTCAGTTGTTAGCCTGATCTCTCTCTCCAGACTATCTGATATCCTCATTTATCCCAGCCTGTGATGGCCTTTTGATTTCTGCCCTACCTCAGCAACTCTCCCCGGAAATCAATCTGTGTGGGAGCATTTTTGTGTGACAAAGAGTAACGGGTAGCTGCCAGGGAAGGAGGGCCCCCAACGATGCTGCTCTCCTTATGGGGTAACCAGTCCATGTCCGAGGGAGATGAGAAGTCTGGGAGGAGAGCTGTGTGCTCTGGCACAGGCAGACGGGAGGTGTGTTTTGTTCCTGCTGAGGGAGCCTTATGCTTGCTAAAATCATGTTTTATGCACATTCTCTCCAACATGAAGAGGGTTGCTGGAGTTGTTATTGGTCGAAAGCTGCACTCCTGGAGCAAAGTGGGAATGAGGGTAGAGGGGAGTGGCTGAAGGCCCCCCAAAGTACAGAAAAAAAATGGAGTGGGCAACGATCATGAGACTCCAGATGGATGTTCTGATTTCACTTAGATTCAGCTAAAGGGCTCAGAACAGACGCCAACCTTCCTCTCTGCCGGCTCCTTCCTTACTGTTGCCTCTCCCCCTGAAGCCCTTCTGTGTGCCAGGGAGTTCCCAGGGCAAGCTGTGTGCACTGTCAGACACCCCCAGAATCTGTGGGTGCTCTCCGATGGCCCCCCTCTTCTGGGCCAGGCAAAAATCCAGTGGACAACAATCGAAGAAAACATCTTGGAGAAGTAGCGCTTACTTTTTCTTTCTCAACGAAAAATGGTCATGTTGCTATTTCTTTTTATCCCTCTCATCTGCCTCCATTCCAGTATAAAAATAATAAAATACCAATTAAGTTTTCCACTTAACAGTATTTTAGACCTTTTACCTCTTGGTTCTATTTTGTTCTTTTTTTGTTTTTCACTTCAACCTTCATTTAAGTTCCAGGGCACATGTGCAGGATATGCTGGTTTGTTCCATAGGTAAATGTGTGCCAAGGTGGTTTGCTGCACAGATCAGCCAATCACCTAGGTATTAAGCCCAGCACCCATTAGCTGTTCTTTCTGATGCTCTTCCTCCTCCACACACCCCACAGCAGGGCCCAGTGTGTGTCGTTCCCCTCAATGTCCATGTGTTCTCATCGCTCAGCTCCCACTTATAAGTCAGAACGTGTAGTGTTTAGTTTTTTGTTCCTGAAGTAGTGCTTATTTTTAACAGAAATAGCCTGAAAGTCTAAGGTCAGTTTTCCTGGCTCTCTCTGGGTCTGTGGCTGGTAGGTGCCTCATTAGAGTTACAGACTTTTTGCTTGCTTGAACCTAAAGTATGTCTTCAGGAATTTACTTCCAAACAAGAATCAATCATAAAACTTGGGGTCAAAATTTATTCACTTCATCTCCATAAGCACTGACTAGGAAGGTTCTTCTACGCCAGACACACTGGTTCCATGTCCTCCCGGGCTGGACAGTGGCCTTGAACTTGCCTGTCCACGGCATTTTCCTCCTACAGAGCAGCTGTCTACCTGTAGCTGCTTCCATCTTGCCTGTCCTGTCTGAGAGTGGGGTTTCATTGCTAATCACAGGGAACTCATAGTTTTTCTCACTTCACACACAGGAGGCTTTTCTCAGTTCCAGATCTACACGGAGAAAGTCAAGTGCATGAATGCTCAAAAGAGAGACAAGGACCGGTTAATTGGCCTCTTCCCAAGCCCATCATTGCAAGCTACCTGGATCTTTGTTCCTATCCTCATCAATTTCCTGTGTTTTGCTCGGCCTCCGGGGCAAGCTTTTAATTTCTGGGAGACGGTGAGTATGAATTCTCCAAAATCTTTTGATTAGAAAATCAGAGCCAGTGTAACTTCAAATAAACAGGCAGGCTGAGAAAAACATCTCAGTTCCAAACGAGCTAGAGCGGAGCGCCTAGGGACATGGTGTGGTCTGTGCTGCCTCCTTGGTTGAAAGCAGTGTGGAGGGCGTGGGTTATTTGTGTGATCTGAGGTAACACAATGAAATACCTTTAGTTCCATGCGTTCTTACAAGAAGTGGTCAAATGCCCTTGTAAATTACTTTGTGAGCCACAATGGATAGATCAAAAGATGTTTTCTAAAACTAGCCCATTACAGAAAGAAAGAATCTATGAAATAGAATGAAGAAATAGAGGGGAGAAAAACAACAAAACCCCAAATTCCTCAGGTTCTAAGAGGACAGTGTTTACCCCATGCATAATCTGTATTCCCAGGGGAAGCCTACAGCATTGCTTGAGTCTGACGCTTAATTTGGCGACTATTGACTTTTCTTGGAAACATTCGTATGATTTCCTCCTGGCTTCTGGATCTGAGAACATGAGACCCCTTGGTCAGATTTAAACCTCTAATTGCACTTTTCATTTCAAATCAATTCAAAAATAAACCAGGCTGGACAGAAAGCTCCAAAACAAACAAGTAAAAAAATTGATCATCCATTTAAAAGACTGCATTGCTAGCAGCAGAGGCAGCCTAACTTACAATAGGTTTATTTCCTTCTTTGATGTTGATCCAGTCTTCCCCGTTGGAGCTGATGTCGATCTTGTAAGTCTTAACGTAGTATTTCTTCTTGGTTTCTTTTGAAATGGCGCCCTGTGTTCCGACGGCCGTGACGAAGCGCAGGAGGCCCAAGTCTACCTGTGAGACGAGCACAAGTGTGGTCAGTGCACCAGCCCCGCAAAACTGTAACCCAAAAGCTTCTTTTCTAGTGAGTTCCACACTGCGGCTTGCATCCACCTAGGATCAACAAGGCCTAATTCCATCCGGCGTTCACTGTCCCTGACTCCCCACTTCCATTCCTTCTAAAGAAAGGCAAAGGCATGATTAATGTAAACCAAAAATAAAACTCTAAGCCCCCTGACCATCTACATGGGCACCTTGCCCCAGCAAGGGCATTCCAAAGCTAACCCGAAAAACTAGTTCAGGCCATGACAGGAGGGTGTGGGGGTTAAACAAGCCTCATTATTATACTCTCCTCTCTTGGGATTACTAATAGAACAGACTCTTTAAGTCTGATAAGAAACATTTACAGTGTGTTCTCTCTGAAGCCTGATACCTGGAGGCTTTACCTGCACAATAAAACCTTGGTCTTCCCAATCTCTTATCTTAACCCAGACATTCCTAAGTCTTTAGACAATAACTTAACTCTTTCAACCAATTGCCAGTCAGAAAATCTTTGAATCCACCTATGACTTGGGACCCCTGTTTCCATGTGTCCCACCTTTCTGGACCAAACCAATGTACATCTCATATGCATCTGATTGATGTCGCATGTCTCCCTAAAATATAGAAAACCAAGGTGTATCCAGACCACCTTGGGTTCCTGTCCTCAGGACCTCCTGAGGTCTGTCATGGGCCACTGCTCACTTATATTTGTCTCAGAATAAAGCTCCTGAAATATTTTACAGAATTTGACTCTTTTGGGGACGTAAGACAGCATGGCCCTAAGTTGGTTTCCATTGTTAGGAGGGAGGCCGGAAAACACCTTTCTCACTGTTGCAATTGGGGCTGCTTGACCCCTGGTGCAAAAGAGAAAAGTGGATTCAATATCATGTCATTATATTTTCTAAGAGATTAAACATACTTTCCAAACTGCACATTCGTATATGCCATCGTGTAAAGAGAAAATCAAGACAAACAAGATAAACTTGCACAATGGATAATGGAGAGGCCTGGCCCTGAACTCCTGTTTAACGTAGTCCCGTTTGCCTCTGTCTTCAGCATCCTACCTCCTTCCAAATTAAGGGCAGACTGAAACAATACTGACTTGAAAGCACTAAAGGTCTTGTGGTTTAGGAGATGGGCCACAGATTTATAACCTGGATGGAGTAAAGAGGAAGAGGGTGAAGATTTCTGTTTGAGAGGCAGGTGGATTCCACGCCATCACGTGGGGGAGACTGGTGCCTCCAGGAAACAACTGCTTGGGCTTGCCACCTTCTCCTGGTAAGTTTCCAGTGGAAAGGCTCCTCAACGCGACAGCCCCGCCTTCATCGTTCACTAGCCTATCTCATATCCCTGAAGGGTGGGGCTCTTGGAGGACATCAGAGCAGTGATGAACACAGGACAACTGAAACCTCGTGGGTCTGTGGTTTCATCCCAGAGCCCGGTGATGTGAGTGGGAAGGATGTAAGCAGCAAGCACTCAATGTTCTAGCCCAGGCTCTGCCATCATCTGCAGGTTTCTGGGCCCTCACTTGTAAAATGAAGGAGTGGGATTAGATAGCTTGGAAGACCCTTGTCCACTCTGACTTTCTATGATCCCTTCTTTCATATGTGTTAGAGATGTTTCTAGTAGAGTAGGTTTTTTTTTTTCTGTAACTTTCCTTATTACCAGCATTAATAGCTAAGAATAATCTTGAAATCAAACTCATTACTAATTTCTATTTAATAGAGATATTTTTAGTTTATTTTAATACACTTGATTATTCCTATAAAATTATTTGCTCCATCTATTTTATGCCCAGCTTTATGCAGAAACTTAAAAAAACACACACACAAATATATGGCAAAATATTTTTTTGAAAACCCAGAAAGTAGTTACACGTTGCAACTATTAGTATTGACAAGATACGGCAACAGTAATCGATCGTTAGGAGGTCGAGGTAGACAGATCACTTGAAGTCAGGAGTTCAAGACCAGCCTGGCCAACATAGTGAAACTCTGTCTCTACTGAAAACACAAAAATGATCTCGGCGTGGTGGCTCGTGCCTGTAATTTCAGCTACTAGCGATGCAGTAGATTTTCCTGAGGCAGGAGAATCTCTTGAACCCAGGAGGCAGAGGTTGCAGTAAGCTGAGATCTCACCACTGCACTCCAGCCTGGGCATTGGAGACTCTGACTCAAAAAACAAAACAAAACACTCAACCCCTTTCCCAACTTTTGAATCCTACTTTCCAGTTGCCATATGACAACTCAATTTTCAGAAAATAATATTTCAATTAACTCTCCAGTGCCCACAGGCCATGATCACTTAAAGAATTTGCACTTTATACACAGCCTGCCTCATGGGGGCATATTGTTTTTCATGAATTGCCTTTTTTCTGAAGGCCCTTGGAGCAGTTAAATCAACATGTTGTCTACATCCAGGAAAAACAGCACATAGAAGTCAGTTTGAAGTTATAGAATCAAACAGTAGTAGATTTCATCTGGACAGGACAGGGCTACCATTCAATGCAAAATAATCTTTGTTTCATTTCCCTAGTTTTAAAGATATAAACTCTAGGCTCTATGTGCTTTTGATTTAAGAGAAAAAGGAACAAGACTTTAATAGAATTCAATATTTTAGAATAACAACAGTAGATTTTATAATTTTAATTTAACAAATAACTATTTTAGCAACACACTCTTATGAAGTGCTTATACTTGTTTACCAAAATTTGCATTTGTTTTTCAAAAGTGAACCATGGTAGTTTGATGAATGTTTTAAACTTCCTACAAATTTCAAAAAGGGGAGGTGATCCATGATCGTCAGATTTAGCAAATAAAAGTATAAGACCTCAGTTAAATTTGAATGTCAGGTAAAATTTTTTTTTGTTTTTTAGTAGAAGTATATCTCCTGCAATATTTGGGCTATACTTATACCAACAACTGATTCATTGCTTACTTAAAATTCAAGTTTAAATGGATTTTCTGTATTCATATTATCTGACAACCCTAAATCTCACTATATTCCAGACAAATAGGTCATTTTAAGTTGCTGCAGAAACTCTCTGATTGCATAATGCTGAAATCTGAAAGTTAATGGGTACTCTAAAAAACGGTTGCTCTGAACAATTTTAACTGTTTTCAAATGCTCTCAGAACACTTAATGCTTTTCTGACTGTCCATTAAAGTCATGCCCAATGCCATGGCTACTTTCAAGCTGAAGGGTCCTTAAAATCTTGAAGTCCAAGGGAGTATGAAGCAGAGCTATTTAAATAAACTCTTCCTGTCAAACTTACAGATGGCTCTTTAGTTTGGAAATGATTAAATTCCCAAGAGTGTGTATTCAGCTTGGGCTGATTTGAAATAACCCCAGAACTTCATTGCTTGGCTGTCCTTTTTCTATTTTTTAAATTTTGGTTTTTGGAGTAAGATTTAATTACCAAGTAGGAAACAAGTTAACTGGTGATCAAATAGAAGATTCTTAGGCATTAGGAACAGCTGACATCAGAGGAAGAAGCAATTGACTGGAATTAACTAGTATCCTACACAGGAAAACGTCCAAGGCCGAAGATACAAAGGCCCCCAAAGCATACGCATGAATCACTCATTAAAAAAGAAAGATATTTTCTTTTCTCAACAGCAGTGAAATGCATTGGCAGCCTCCTCTTGTAATTGCATAGTTTCCTGCTGTGCTTTACCACTCTGCAGATTCTCTAATTTACCACACGGGGTTACTTGAAATTTCATTTCATTTTTCTCCCTAAGATTATTCCTGTGGGTTTAGTAAGGATAGATGACAACCTCACAAAATGATTAGGATTGGGACCTGAGCCACTGCAATTAAAACCGGATGGTACCCGGAACTCTGACATACAGCTTCTCCAGCGCTGTGCAGCCCTCACTGCTAAGACCAGGGAAGTTCTTTCCACCAGTCCTCTCTCTTAACACCTTAGGGGAATTGTCTCACAGGGATCCGCCCTCCACCCTCAAGTGTCTGAGAGAGTCTGAGGTGAGACAGATACAGTCCTGCCTTACAGGCACCACTGTACATACTGCTGGTGTCTGTGCCAGGAGACCTAGACAGACTTCATGCCTGGGTGTTCGTATCTGAAGATTTCTGGAAGACACCACCCCCAAAACTTGCCACTTTGGCATAAAGATTATTTTGGGCTGAAGGCATTCAAAAATCAACAGATGCAAGAAGAATTCTATGCCTTCCCCTTCTCTGTCTAAAAGCAGGACATACGTTACCCTGTGGGAAGGTCGCATACATTTCCCCGCCCTCCTCTACCAGGATGAAGAGGACAACACTTATCAGTGGAGGCCGAGAGTCAGGACTGAGAGAAAATTGGCATAAGCAAATCTTACCAAAATAACTCCTGTTTTCCATTAGTGTCCCGTGTGTGTGTGTGTGTGTATCTCCTAGTCACTTTCCTCCAACTTACCACCCCAAAAGCCCAAACTCTTTCTTTTGTCAGGTCACTTATCCACAACTTACCACCCGTTGTTAAAATGGTATATAAACATTTGAATCTGTTTCTTTGACGTTTTCACTTCTTTTCTGTAAAGCCTCTGTGCACATCAAATTTAAAGTAGTGATGCCTTTTTTGCTGTTAGTCTGTCTTTTGTCAGTTTAATTTGCAGCCTCCAACTGCAACACCTAAAAGAGCAGAAGAGAAGTGTTCTCCTTCCCTTAGAAGCCCTTCTCGCTGGCGTCGCTGTCTCTGCTAGTCATGACACTGGCTTTAATCTACCCTTTTAGCCTCTCCTGCTCCATCTGTCCCTCCAACTGTACCACCCAGCCACATTATATTTGCTGCTTGAAACAGAAGATAAATCTTTTCTTTTTCTTTTCTTTTTTTTTTTTTTGAGACGGAGTTTCGCCCTTGTTACCCAGGCTGGAGTGCAATGGCACGATCTCGGCTCACCGCAACCTCCGCCTCCTGGGTTCAAGCAATTCTCCTGCCTCAGCCTCCTGAGTAGCTGGGATTACCG